GGCAAAGCTTACATTTAAGTGGTCGCTGAAAAGGGTTCTTCGAAACTGAATTCGAGAGGTGAAAGAGGATTAAAACTATTTGGAGGAAGAGGTATACAGGAAAATATAATAAAATATAAAATAAAGTGCTAGGGGAGTGTCGTATTATTTCTTCGGCTATTATTTATGCTGTATGCGCCATATCGCGTGATTTGTCTTGTACCATTAATAAAAAATAGAAACTATAGTAGCCCTCGGAAAAAAAAGGTAGGAAGTAATATTTTTATAAGTGTCGGACATATCTACAGTACGTACATTCAAAAGGCACATCTGACATCATAAATCACATTTTCTACCACAAAAAAATACACAATTTTGACCTTTTTAATATAAAGACACCTTTTACTTGGTAATGTACGGAAATGTATCCATATTATGTAGTTCAATTACATTTATTAGTTGTTTGCGGTCATTCTCGGGCTAGTGTTCACTACTTAATTTCCATGACAATTTTTATTATTTAAATATTCAAGTATATTATCATGTAATTATTAAAAGATATATTTCACGATACAATATTCGAATATTAAATAATATTGCACGATAAAAAATCGAATACTTAAATAATAAAAATTGCCACGGAAATTAAGTAGTGAACACTAACTAGTCTGAGAATGACCGATAAATGCCTCAAAACGCATAACTGACTACAATTGTGCTCTTTTGTTGCGTGAAAAGTCACATTTAAATTAATTGTGCCTTTTAAAGGCAGTGGTCATATTTTTTATATATTTTTTTGTTAACAGTGAAATGAGAAAATCAATGTATTTTTTATATGTCCAATTAAATTTTTTTTCTGTTAAATATGCACAAAAATATTGTGCATATTTAACGTAAATAAACTAATTTATATCAAGAATAAATTTTACTAACCTTGTTACCACAAATACCTAAACATTTTTAAACTCATTCGTCTTCGAATTTTGAATTGGCCGCTTGTGCCTTTTTTCTTCCGAGTGTAGTATAAGTTCGAAATCGGATATAAGTTTTACATTGGAACCATTGACTTACAATTGTCAATGATTGGAACGTATACAAGTGCAGAATTCAGAATATTATTGCCTTTCGCCCGCAGCCATTTCTCAGCTTATCTTTCAACTACAAACACAAATCAATATTACGAGAACACTCGGCACACTAAATTAATATTAGAGGTAACAAAATATTTGTCTCTATATTAGACTACAATTTCAGAACGATTAGCGATAGAAGTCATCTTTCGTTAAATTAATTAACGTTCAACGTTCTGAAATAGCGTCTGATATTGCTTTTAAAATGCTCGATAAGAACCGAGAGAGTCACGACCGGACTTGTCTGTATGTCGTGTCTGGGTTCCTGGTATATCTACTCGAGACGAGCGAGAGGCGACCACATATGACAGTGACTCTTGTCAAAAGTTGAAGATACTGAGCTCAATGAGACAATTTGTGAAAATAAGCCAAGTTGGGTATAAAAAATTACATTTAGCAAGGCTTATACAATTTTACTTTATAATCAATTTTAAACATAACTTTAAAAGATATATCTAAACGTAGAACATACCTAATATGAGTGTTCGTATTATATTTTTCCAATATTTCCAATTTTACAGAAATTTTCACTTAAAAATTTCCACTATTTGAAATAATTCTGAAAATTACCTAACGCTAATGCTAGATGACTTTCTTGATATAATGATAATTTTTATTTTGTCTTTTCAAAGGTTACAACGTTTTATAAAGTAGATAGATAATAAAAAAAATAGCTACTCTGGAATCCATACTAGGAATTAACTTGTGTGACAGATCTCCAGACTCTCACCTAGCCAAATAGAATGGTGTTTGATAAGGCAGTATTACAATGTAAATATATTTTAAGTATCAAATTTTACCAAGATTGTAAGCTATTCAAAAAAAAGTGATGATAAGTAAGTGACGTAAACACAAATAAAATAAAAGGTATAAAAGTAAATATAAAATATGAAAACCAAATACGGGAAGGTGTAGGTATGTGCATGAGATTATTCTTAAGGGGATAGTAAAACATCCTTAAAACTTTAACATTCCCGCCAAATACTTTTTTCGATTTCAATCGCCTAAATCACGTGGTAAGTGTGGTAAGTGTTTAGCAGCAGTAGAGCTCCTCGTGAAAGAGTTCGTCCAAAGAAGTACTGCCACTTGTTTCTGCCGCCAACAATATAGCCTGCGTTCCGATTTTGAAGGGTTAAGGGTGGTGGTGAAATTACAGGCATATGGAACTTCTCAACTTATGTCAGATGACAGGCGCGGCGTAGGGGCAGTGCCCCTCAGATCTTTGTGATTTAAAGCTGGACAGGTTCATAACAGTTACAGTGCCACTCAGAACTTTTGTGGTATCGTCGTTATTTCCGATTTCCATAACACAAGTGTTTTCGCTACTTACCTTGGAATCAGAGTTAACGTATATGATGTTGTCTAATTTTTATATTTATTTAAATTATATGTATCTTATGCATGTCTCAGACGACGCGACAGGACGAACAAGCGTGGTGGTAAGCCACATACATATCCCTGAAAGATGCAGTGCCACTCAGAGCTTTAAATCAAAAAGATCTACCACTGCACCCGTCACTCTGAGAGATACATAACTTGAAAAGTCCCATATGCCTGTAATTTCACCAGCACCATTACCCTTCAAAACCGGAACACAGTAAGGCTCAATTTATATTGCGGTGGAACGGAATGGAAGCAAATTTTTGTAACGATATTTGTACATAATGAACTTTATGGTCAATTGTGTAAATATTCCGCGGAATTCTCGCGCAAGCTCGCAATCAATACTCTGGCGCTCTCTAGTAGGCACGCGATAAAAATAGAATACTTACCATTGACCTAATATCTACTTATTTTCCCCAGTGATCGGAAATTCGGGTTTACTTCGATTGCGCCGCTTACCACAAGGCGCACGATAAAGGTGGTCAAACATCGTGACATTGAATAAACTCAAAAATATACGAGTATAGGTATATATATCTCACATTTATGTGGTCTATCAGGTACCTAAATAATCTCAGTACAGAGTACTAAAAAACCGACCTCAAAAAAATTCTCTCTAATTACCAAGTTTTACTACCCTAGCTCACCACTATAATGGAACTTGACCCAGGAGATAATAAAAAATCGGTTCTCAATACTCATAGTATATTACGAGAGAAAAATGCCTTGAATTGGAGAATAGCAAAATCAACCATTAAAATAATTGCTCCTTATAATAAAATTTACGCGCTATTTATAAAAATAAATATTCATGCGTGAACAGCCACCCTTAGAAATTTTCTTCAAAATTAAATGGGATTACTATGGAGGTACCCTCTTTCCAACAAAAAAAGAATCATGAAAATTGGTTAAAAAAATACAGTCGAATTGAGACCTTCTTTTTTGAAGTCGGTTAAAAAACTCAACTCACTAAATATGCTGAGTAAAAGGCAGTTTAGGATGCTAATCTAGCCCAGTGTGACTGTGGTGCTCCAACACAGTTCATGCAGCACTGGCTGGTGTGCCCCTCGTATCCAAATACCTGCACGAGAGAGATTCTTGTCACACGGCCACAGATAGCGCAATCAAAAAAGAAGTCCTCATTCAAAAGAACGTTGCTAATATGTTAACTTGAATAAAAATATTTGAACTTTAGTAGAAGAGTAAACAATAAGATGCAAAACTGTTTTGACCCTGATTATACTTTTTTCTTTGTCATTGTAACTAACCGCCATCTGTCACATCAATCATCAGTCTAACCACCAATATGGTTAACGGATAATACTGCAACAAATGTGGTAACATACTCGTACTCATAATAAACGAATGCTTCTTCAAGCTGTAACACTCCATAGACTTTGTGACAATTTGATTGACTGTCCAGATCTTGTGCAAAACATTAAATACAATGTACCCGTGAGAGTTCATCGACGACGTACGCGCTCCTACCTGCTGTTTAAAACGGCGCGCTGCCGAACTGGCAAGCGAGTCACTAAGGGTGTAGATTATATTCTTTCTCAGTACAATTATTTGTTTAGTGTTATTGACATACTTTATTTACCTGCTTCTAAATTTAAAAAAGCTATTATTGAAGCCCTGAGCTAATTTCTTTTTTGTTCACTTTTTACTAGTTTTAGTTTTGCTTTACCCATCACACACGTCATTTTTAATTTCAATTTTAATAGTAATATGTAGGATAATGTTGTTGATTGTACGTCACTTAATTTCACAACGAATGTAAGCATACCATTTACAATTCCTTGTTATCCGTTGAAAATAAATAAATAGACACTTCTAACGGCCAAAATAAGCAGAATCTTAAAAATTGCATGCAGATAGTTTATTACGAGAGTTTATTGTAAATTCATTTTTTTTAACGAACACTCAACATAGCCCCGCACTAGGGAAACTCTGTGTCGCGGGTGCCATGAACATACATAGACAACTACAAATTACAACCCACACTTACCAGAGAAATAAATGTAGGCCACATAAACATTTCTCCCGACCCGGGAATCGAACCTGGGACCTCTGCGTGACAGTCCGGTATGGTAACCGTTCGGCCACTGAGGCAGTTCTGCCGTAACAAATAAAAATAAAAATGAACGTTCCTTGTTAATTGAGCGTTATGAAATTGTTGCATGGGTATAGATATCTTCGAGAAATTTGCTGCAAAACGTGCTGCGGGAAAACAAATTGTCTATTTAGATGACACATGTTCACAAGAACAACAAACCCAAAAAATCTTAGCAGGGGCCATCAAACAGCGGTGCAATTGAAAGTATCATCTGGAAAAAGGTATATAATTGTGCATGCTGGACACGAGAATGGTTTTGTGCCAAAAGTTCTTCTGGTTTTTAGTACGAAATCAAAAACAGCGACTATCATCATGATATGAATTCACAGAATTTTAATAAATGGCTTACCCAAAAACTTATATCCAATTTGAATAAGCCTAGTGTAATAGTTATGGATAATGCCAGTTATCACACTGTTCGCAAGAATAAAGCCCCAACAACTGCTAATCTTAAGACTGAATTAAAAGAGTGGCTCAATTCGAACAACATTCACTTTCAAGAGTATCATACGAAAGCACGACTTTTGTGCTTAGTACATAAGCACAATCCTGACTCAGTATATGAAGCTGATGAACTTCTCAGGACAAATGGTCATGAAGTTTTGCGTCTACCTCCAAATCATTGCGAGTTAAACCCCATTGAGCTCATATGGAGTTTAGCTAAAAGAAAGGTGGCAAAGAAGAACATCAATCTATCTGCAGCTGACACAGAAAAGCTTATCAGTGAATGCTTTGCAAGCATAACGGCTGAGGAGTGGAAAAAAATGACAGACCATGTTGTTCACGTAGAAAATAAATACAAAGAAAGGGATCACATAACAGAAAATGAGAAAGTATGGGAGAAAGTGAAACATGTGAGTCTGAAGAATCGTTGCTGGCTGAATTTTTGGACAGTGACTTCGATTATGATTCTTAAATAAATAAATGAATGTTTCTTCACACATTTCTATTATTTATATGCATACACACACACACGTGGGATTATAATTTCAGTAGAGGTATTGTAATTGCACGGACATTAGTGAATTGTCTCCATTTTCTACAAAATCAGAATTATCAATTTAACCAGGGTAATTATAATGTCACTAAATGTTACCTTTTCAATGCTCTAACTTTTAACATTTTACAAATAAACGGCGTTATCGTTTAATGAAATTCTTTAATCCTCATCTGTCCACAATGTCACTGAATACATGTAGGGAAATTATGGTGTAGCTAAGATTGTCCCGTTATAGTATGAAAGGGAGACGATTGACAAAAGTCCGTGCAATTAAAAAAATCACTAGTGATATTACAATATCACAGTTTTTGCAATGTACCGGAAATTACTAGAGTTAAGTTAGTTAATTTATAAAAATATAACGATACCTCACACGTAATTTGTTGTAAGTCAAAATACCATTTTTTGCTTTTTAACTTAAATATTATAACCATTTTTTTATGTATATTACAGGTACCATATTTGAAAGTAAACATGACATTAAGTGATTTTCTACTTTTAAATAAGGAACTTATAATTTACATAGCAAAGGATATATATAAGTTAAAAAGCAAAAAAATTATTTTGCCTTGCAACAACTTACGTGGAAGGTATCGATAAATTCCATCGATAAGCACTGTCGATGATTCTGTCTGTGTAGTGTTGTCCGCGTTTTCATTTTTGGCAAGAAAATAGTACCACAGGAAGCATCCATGCATGTTCCTTTTACATAATATACACTGGGATAGTAAAAATCTGTTCAAGTATCAAGTGAGTTTTTTGTCAGTTCAAACTGGGTTGCAACCCGCAGATTTTTTGATTTTGCCGCTATTTCTCAGTCTCAACTTTCGTTTGCCAGACTCTAGTGACATTTCATTTCGAATAAAACTTCATCTCGACTGATATTAGAATTGAGGTCAAATCAAATTGTTTTGTTTTTCAAAGATGTTCGAAATTTGAATGTAATAATAACATCGAATTGGATGTTATTACGAAGCAATAACAACATTTTCAAAGATAAGAAATTAGTTCTAATAAAACAGTTTACCTTTATGCTGGTCGTAATTTGCGGTTTTTGAACTCATTATAGAGAGTTTATTGTAGAATTATTTTGATTAATTAAATTGTCTTTTAAAACATTTAAAATTAGTCAACGTGTACGACTTATCGGAACTTATCCTAACGATGCATAGCTGAAATATCATTAAACAATTTCAATATTCAAAAACTGGGTTATGTTTTTTCATAGCATCTCAAATAAAAATTTGTCGTGTAGCGTACGGCAGAGTTAAAGTCTTTCACATTCGCATGCATTTTTTGTTCAATTTCGCCCTCGTTGAACGGTCTATAGTAGTTTACTCGTTCGGCCGTCTAGTCCCGAAACGATTATATTGAAATAAGTAACACTCGACAAAATTAAAAGAAGCATGATGCGAATAAAGCTTCCTACTCGACATTGTCTTTTGATTAGGTCGAGTATTAGGTACTTATTTGACAGTAATTATTACAAAAATTTTTTTTTTTCGATGGCTGTCGGGCGGAGAACAGGCAGGGACGCTCTGGTTTTGATCTAACATCACTTTCGAATCGAATGTAAAGAAGTGTTGATTTCTTTAACTTCGTCCATTGAGTACATATTGAGTACCATAGATAATTGGGGACAGATGAAAATAAAACAAATTGGGGATATATCTTTGTGTTTATTTTACTACAATGAGTCACGTATACATAAAACATAAATCTATTTTTTAAAGTACAGGAAATGTTATCGAAACACAGATAGATCTCGTTTAGTCGTCTTCTCGACACAATAATATCATTAAGACTAGTTGATTAGGTATGATTATAAAGGTATCGTAACAAAACTCTATAACAGAACTCCAGGCACACAATATTGATCTTAAATGACCACTCGCCATAATCAACCGTAAATTCGTGTGCAGTATTCCAATCAATATGAACCCAATCGTTGGTATAGGAGTACTAGAAGAGAGACATGAACACCTAGCATTGGTGCTTAGGTTGTCCTATTCCTTTTACAATACATGGTAGAACGTTAGTGACACGATGTAAATATTTATTATATATGAGTGGTATTAACATTTATTCTTATCATAACATTCAATCTACAGCAATGTATGTACTTGAAATGGTAAATCTTTTCTACTGAAAGTTTTATATTTTTATTCATCGCTAAAACTATTGTGTATAATTATCTCCTTCCCTTTCTTCATTTACAATAACATATAGATTAAAAAGTAGTATAATAAGGGTATGTAGAGCTATATCATTAAATGTATATCTTTGTCGTTAGACTAAATGATATAGAGACTTGTTAAGAGTACGGGGCGAACATCTATTTAGAATGGACGTTATAATAATTTTTTTTAAAACCAAGAAACTGTTAGCTAAACTTTCTAAACACTGTTTTTATATTTGTGAAGTTTCTAAATATTTTTATATATAAAATTCAATATAGTCCATCAAGAAGGTACTTAGAAAGATATGGACGCTCTGGAAAGGCAAAACGTCTAATATGCATTTGGAAAACATTACAGCAGAGTGATTTAAAGTAATTTTTTTAGCTTTTAATAAAAATGTATATGGAAAAATTTATAGAAAACTAAAAAGTTTTCCGTATAATTAATAAAATTAGAGTTATGATATTTTTTCTTAAAAAAATACTTACTTACTAAATACTTTAAATCACTCTCCTATAATATTTTACAAATGCACGTTAGTAATTGCACGCTTCCAGGGACGATGTAAAGTGCTATTGGAGAACGTTAAAATATTAATGAAACGGTGCACCGTCTGTCCACCCTAGTTTGATGTTTACTATGTTTAATAATACTTGTTTGGGTATTGTATGATTGGAGGAGTATTTTTTTACTTAACTCTATTAACATCAAAAACATTACTCCTTATTAACAGGAATACAACGAGTAACTGTTAATTTATCAATGATTATAAGCTCAAACACGACAATTTCTTTACCGCCTTATATAACAAATCTCCTTATATAGGAATTGAAGAACCTCGTTATACTATTTCGAGGATTAAGAAAGACCTTACTAAAGTATTGTCGTATATTACTTTTGCTTAGAAAAGAGCAGTCAAGAGAGTAAATATTCACAGAATTAGATCACAAGATAGGACGATATTTGGTAAAATACTAGAGATTATTATACTAGTTATATTATTAGGTATTGATGACAATACCGAAGAATCACAAAGTATTCAAAATGTGAAAGTTGTTAACAGGGCATATAAATAATTATCAAATTTCATACTATTATGAGCAAAACACCACAACCCTTGGAAGATAAAATGTTATTCTTCCGCGTTGTTAGTAAGCAATCGTGGGCTTAATGAGAAAAATAATGATATTTAAATTTTATCGATTTTTTTCTGTACAGCTTAATCCTTGCAGGACTCTAACCAACCGCACAAAAATTGATACAACTTTTGAATCGTAATTTTTGCAACTTTTTGTACAAAAAGTTTTATGTCACATACTTTTATAGACAAAACAATAATGGAGTCAAATGGGCCATTTGCATTAAAAACAGTGTATTGCGCAAGCAACCTGACTGGCAGAATTCACCATACACTCAAATGGGGTAGTCGCTTGCATACACAATGAAACTAATGTTTTTCGTAAATTTAGTCATACTTGCATCACTCAAAGTTTTACTTTCAACGTTCCTTACCCTTCATGATCCATCGCAGTATACAAATACTTAATTAAATATTATAAATACAACCTTTATGTTTTATAGAACTCTTTTAGATTTCCTGTACTACATAATGGTGCAGAAATACTTCGGAAATTGCATAGTTATTTATATTTGGTGTTAGTTAACTTGTATATCTTTGAAAGTTTACAGAAGAATTATTAATAATAACAATAATTGTGCCGGTTACCACATAAATTGTCTGGTCTTAAAATATTATAAACTATGAGTCCCAGAGCAACGAAATTAACAACGGAGCACTACCCTGAGCACCCAGAACAGAAGTACCTAATTTACAAAAGTTCATTTCCCAAAATTTATCCTACTGGTAATCGAATCCGGGACCTTCTCATCCAACGTCCACAGTGCAAACCGTCGGGTAACCGAGGTCGTCAATAAACAAAGGCAAATGAAAATATTTGAGACAAGGTAATGTACGGAAAACCTTTAAATCCCCGGTAAAATCTACTACACAGCCTAAGTATTTCCGAAATTTGCACTTACACCATTTTGTAAAACGGAAAGTAAAATTCTGAAAAGTCATAAAATCTGAAAATAAAATCTTACAATTATGTAGGTAATTATTTGAAGAAAAAAAAAAACGAATTAAAATTTTTATATTATCTTTCAAATGATAACATGTAAGTAATGTTTCAGACACAAATTAATTAAAGATACGCATGTATCTATTTCAAAATAAATTCACATCATTCCTAATAATATATTAATATTTAAGTATTATTTTGATACTATAATATAACATATTTAATATATTAATAATAAATTTGTAGGTTAAATCTTATTCAAGCCACATTAGAACATTCACACAGTGGTCCACCTCATCCATCTGGCGTTCTTTTTGAAAATCTTGCGTGTTTTGCACCATCCATTATTTTGACCAAATTTCGGATTTTTTATATACTACGTGATACCAGACGCCGTAGTAGATTGCTGCGTGGACATTGGATCATACGAGAATTGTCCTTGCACATAGGAAGTGGACCATTGCTATGAATTAACGATTACTAGATTGTGTCCAACCTATGCCTTAACCCTATGTTCTCACTTTCTGGACATTCTTAATAAATAAGTAAATATATATTTTCATTTCCATATTTCCCGCACTATCCGAATACCTTTTCTTTCTATCCAAATAACCATTCATAATACAAAAATACTGTATTTATTAAATTACTTTTGTATCATATTATATGACATAATTTTGGAAAGCAATGATATTTTGTAAGGTTAAAACTGTGCGGTATCGACATGAAAGTATATTTCTTAAGAGCGCATTACAACGGCGCACAAGCTTCTCGGAATGTAATTCTCTGCATTATTTGACTCTAATGCAAGCGTATAATAATATGTATTCGTAGTGCACCTACTCGTCCGTGTACTTATTTGTGCATTTAGAATAAAAATTGCCAATACTTTCCTAAACACATTTTAATAATACATATAAGATATATATTTTTTGGATGTATGCTTATGTTATATGTTACTATACAACCGCGTGTGTCAGGGTGCTGAATCAAAACCTATGTAGCAGTTTACAATTTTGGGCGAATCGGATTAACAGGATTAAGGTAATAAATGCAGTAGTTAAAAACTATGTAAGTATATCAATTGTCGTTAGTTTTACAAGATTCCAAAGCGTTTTAGATGTACTGAAAATAGAAATTTATCTAAGAATCACAAGGACCGTTGCTGATGTTCAAATGGCCGTAATTTTTACAAAATTATACTTAAAAGTACTTATAAATCGGATATGCACATATTAATTTGATGCATTTATACTTTCATTCAGAAACATTATTGACATTTTAAACTTAAGGGTTAAGTTCTTAAAACTTCTAGTATTTGGCACCCTTCTCACTGTTCTGGGTCGATGCTATGGTAGTACATCGATCCTATCACATTTCGTATTAAAATTTAAATTTATACTACAAATCAATCGTTGGCGGGCCTTTATTACAGCTACACCATAATGGAGTATTTAAAACTTGACTAGAGACGTAAAAAGTTAAATTTAGTCGGTTCGAGTAGCAAAAAAGTAGATTTATGTTATTTGTTTTACCCTTATAAAGTGATTACGTTTGTAACGGATTTTACGTTTCACCCTGTATTAATGTTCGTCAGATTTCTTCAATCTCCGATACCACAGTTTGATCTGATGCTAAAACTTGACCATAATTAAAATAAGGTTACCTCCAGTATGGACAGTGAAATATATCCTATTTCTAAATCGGTATGCCGACAAAATATAGTCATTTTTGCGTCGTGGCTAAATCACGACGCGTTCTGAGAGTAATCAGATATAAGTTAGGTAATGAGGTACTCGAGATTGAAGAAAGGAGATGGCAGCGTGGACAGTAAAACGCCCTTATACCTAACATTAGAACTAGGTCTTACTTAGTCAAGTTAGTCTACTTTTTGCGTCTAGATTCGACTAAAACACGACTTGTTACATTACTAGTAAAAATTCAAATACTCGCTTATGATGACGCTGGAATAAAGCACGCCTCATATTTTTCACATTTCCTAACATGCTAAATGTTGCTAATAACGGCATAACGCATTTTCTTAGTGATGTAGATTTTGCATAGAGTTCTTGCGTTGAGTGCATAGTTTCCAATAAACACGGATTCTTAATGTGGGTCGTAATCGTCGAGCTTTATGTAAGCTTTACGGTCAATACTGTTCAGAACCGTCACAAGCTATTCAGTTATTTTATTTTTCTTTGTAATGCGCACGTACTGAGACCAAACATCACTGAATAGTGTAAATAGAAGTGATTTTCCTTAATAAAAATTCGGTAGCGCTTAGAAGTAGTGCGTGTATAAAAATAAAATCAACATTCGATAAGGTTTCGGGACTTCCATACGCCTCCTGTTCTTAAAGTGAAATAAAGTTGTGACGTGCGTTTATTTTCAGTAAAATTAAACATGATTTTTTATGTAGTTCGAGCTTTTCATCCATTATCAATAATTGAAACATCATTGCGGAGAGCATTTTTATAAGGGCAACAACAGTTCATGCCATATTAGTGTACATGGCGTGAACTGTTACATATCCTTAGCAAAGGTGAACAAAACAGTTTGAGTGTGAAGTAAATGTTGTTAAATAATACACATTACTGTTACTTCAGTATAATTTATACAATGCTTAAACAAACGAGCGGACGTTTTAGACGCTCTTTGGAACAGTAACCAGTCATCTGTGGAATCATGTTGGCGTTGCTAAATTAGCAGGCGTAAAATTCAGTCAATATAAGAGACATAAAAAAATATCCAAAATAGCGCTCCAAACTAAATTTTTCTACGATGTTTGATCAGAAGGTGCGAAATTTTATGCAAAGAAAATACTTAATTTTCCTAAAAGTGTCAAGTGTGCGAATCGTTCAAGATTTGGGAGTAAGAACTGACAGAGTACCGAAAAAGTACGAAAAAGAAGTATATGCAGTGGATTTGTGATTGAAAGAGAATGCGTGTCGTAACGTAAAATAAAGTATCGTATACCGTAATTTAAAAAAATTAAGTTCTTCGGACCTAGACCGAGGCTTTCTATTTATATTATTTTCAATATTAGCGAATAATAATTTCATTAAATAATAGAAGCTCAGGGTTCAGTACAGATCGCGTGCAGCGGGGGTCGCGGAGCAACGAAGCGGAGGGACGGTGAGCGGCGGCAAGGCGACATGGTGCGCGCGCGCCGTTTGGGTCGACCCGCTCTCGGATTACGCTACGCGGCTCTAACGATAATGAAATTCTTTACGTACGGCCCGTAAACAGCTGAGACTGTAATCAACCATAATAAAAATCATTAAAAAAAGCGCGTGCGAGGCCGGAGGACGCGGTACGAGTCCGACACCTGACGCCTAACGCCACGCTGCCGGCCGCGCGGCCCCCGCCCGCCTGCTCCGCTATACTACTTTATAATGAAGCGCTACTCTACTTATTGCCGTGTTCGCTAATATGCTCTCTATTGCTAACAAAAGAGTTAGTAGATGCTAAACAATCCAATAGGGAGATAGGAAAGCCGAAAAAGCAAATTAAACTGAAGATCCTCTTGGTATGAAACCTGAGAGTCAGCGATTATGTCTTATATTAATTTTTAAAAGGACACGATTTTTGATGGAACAGGTTTATGCATATTAAATTGAATGTTTGGCTCTATGTCGGTACCTCATCCATTTTGAACATAATACAATTCCCAGACGTATATACAAGTTCTCAAAATATGTACGAACCGTACGACATCAACATCAGAGACTACCAACATAAGAGAAACGAAATGTGAACAAACAAAAATAGGATAGTCGGAAGTTGAAACAATAAATTTGAATGTGGAACTACAAATCTACTACGTTAGATGCCATAGTAGATGAATTGCAATAAAGGTGTGATTTTATTTGACTGCTCTATGATATATTTCATTTGATTATAACAACAGTTATACGATTCACTACATAGACTGTGAAAATACCATTCTCTATATTTCAGCTAAGTTCTGTTGCTAAGTGTAGGTACTTGCTCAATGTTACACTTTAACCGCCTTTCGCCGTTTATGACAAAGCTGAAAATAGTGTTGTAATTAAAAATATCGGTTATGTAAATTGAGCACATAGTAAAGGGTTAGAGGTTAGGGTATAATAATTATGTTATAGAATTAATCAGCATTTTTTAGCAAGTTTCTTTAAAGTATTTCTCAAGATTTGGCGTAATGGGAACTGAAGCAGGGCAGAAACTACAGTTTAGACGTGACGAGAATAGTAAGCAGGGCAGGGTTCACGACGCGACGTCGCGTTGTAGGACTCGATGTAACGCGAATAGTACTTAATATCTACTAATATAAACAAAAACAACCTTTACTCTAAGGGGAAATAATAATAGAAAAAAGGGTTTGATTATTTATTTTTAAAATAAATCGGTTCAACTTCAAAAGGGTCTAACTTTAATTTTTATTGATCGCAAGTAGGAGTCTTGCAGAAACCTTAACAACGTGTTAAAATATTTTTTACGCATTCACAATTTTGGAGGACTAGCACTTCTTTACATTTATATTCCTTTTAATTTATAACTTTTAACTAAAAATGTTTTAGAGTTTAAAATATTGTCTCACGAGTATTACATTACTATCCATTTTAAAGACTAAGTTCCTACTCTTTTTAACTACTTTATAGAAAACTTAAAAGGGTAGAAATTTAGCAACAATATTGAGGGTAATATCCATTCTAACCCTAATAAGTGTAATAAATACTTTTGGTCAATTAATTTGGAACTTCTAATAACAACTCGTCGGTTGACTATAATATTTATTATAAGTTTTAAGTTCTTTTATTCATAAGATGTTCATTGCCGAAAATAATGCGACGATTGTGGCCCATGAACATTTGGCACAATTGCAATTTATTGTGTCAAGAGCCAAATATCGCTCAAAATGTAATGCGATAGTAAAGTGCTAAACATACTTGAAAATCTTCATAATGTTTGACAGAAAAAGTTACTTTCTACATTATAGTAGTATATAATAAATATAACAATACCATATCACAGCACCATTATACAACAACTTGCTGTACACTATCCTCGTTTGGTATCATTTTTTACTGTTATCCTTAAATTTGAATTTATACTTTCTTAATTTTATTACAATTGAAAAATTCATATCATTTTTTCGGAAATAAGTGATATGTCCACATTATACCGATTAAAGCTCACAGGTTCTTACTTGAAAAGATTTATGTCATGGTTTCCGAGTAACCACCTACTCCAGTCTCAATATTATGCACATAAAAAAATGACGGAACAAATAGTGTAGAAAAATAAATAAATCGTATCTAATAAAACAGAGGCAAATAATTATGTAATGTAGGGATAATACTTTCGCACTTACAACATCAATATTAGAGTACTACGAGAAAGAACCGGAAGGGGACCGCCAACAGAGGCTGAATTTGAAAGTTTAACTGGCCCGGCGAGGGCTGGGCGGCAGGCGGCGCGGCGTCCGGGTCTCGCGCGCCTTCTGGCTCTCGGCGCAGGGCGATGATTCTCCGATGCTACGAGGGGCGGGCTGATCGGTTCCTAGTGCGCTTAACGCGTCATGGTTATATTGAGTGACGGGCATTTGCTGACTGACAAGGCGGTGTGCTTCAGAGCAGAGTAGCTTGCTGTGGCGCCATGAAGCGGACCCCAATGATGGTGCGGGTGCGTCTGCGCCTGCGCATTGCTAGAAGAGCCGACGACTGGCAGATGCCTTACCATGCCGCTACTCAGCTGTTGCAGCAACCCCGAACCCTGCGAGGTGTTGAGGCAAGCCGACGGGCGCCGCGAGCGGATGGACTGCATGGAAGAGGTCAGCAGGAACGGCACGCTCGATGACGTGTTCGGCATAGAGCCCCCCTGCACATTACATTTCATCATCATTTTCAACCAGTCGCAATTTGGACGTATTATTTGGACGTAAAAAATGCAAGCATTTCGGGTAATCGTTTTTACCATATTAATTTAATACGGACAAAAATTAGTGCATCCCAGTGGGTCCAGATTTAATATTGCCACGATTAGACGGCTAAAGTTCATTTCCAAAGGCACCAAAACTTTAGCACATTGTGTATGGTGAAATTGTTGCACTTAACTTATTTAACCAAGTACTTGGTTCCTGCGTGCAACTTAAAATATAAAAGTTTCAAGGTAACTACGAACATAATAGGTACTGACGTACCCGTCGCAGTCACTACATGCATTAACTACTGCATGCCTCAAATGACTTAATGTCAGCTTATTGAAGCGTGTTAGGTTATTGAAAGTTGTTGTGTATCAACTATAAATACGGTAAACTATATAATTATTGGCTCTTTAAAGCACAATTTGCACCTTATGTGTATGAATTTTTTTTAAGGTTTTCGAGGCTATTCACTAATTTTAGGTTTCTTACCACGGTATGACTTCGTTTTGATTTCTCTCCATATATATCGATCCATAGTCACGGGTTGACCATGGAGCGTGCAACCGTTGGTTGGTCGGAAAAAAAAGAAGTCATACCGTGGTAAGAAACCTGAAATTAGTCATAATCACTTATGTGTACGACCATTTATTTCAATATTACAGTACTATACAAGTAGCCCACTTTGTGAAAAAAAATTGCACTATTAATAGTGCATCGCGTCAGCGCGCGTACATTTTATTATGCAAAATATTACGGATTTATTAAAAATATTTCCGGTAGTACATTGATAGGCCATGGTAGTATGCGGATTGCAAATACAAAGGTACAATCCTTGACGTCGTAGTTACAGTTACGTAATAAGTATTGGTAAATTTTTCCTTCAACAAAATGGTACCCTTTTCAATTTGTGTAGTTTAAAAAAAATACCAAAGCTTTATGTAAAAACTTTGTAAAGCAGTTGTGCCAAACATCAGTTGAAACTTTGGAGAATTGCAATTCCAATATTTGCACTTTCATATTATATAAATTTTACCAATAATTGACACGAGAGTTTTGTATTATTTCAAGTACTTGACGTCGAGCATGGGGGGAAAAAATGGTTTTCGTATAGGGTAAGGTTGCGTTAGTCATACCACCGCCTAAGTCGTACTCTAGGGATATCAGTTTCATATCATCATATCAGGGGTCCACCACAACCTCTTAAAACAATATTACTTTAACCTTACATTGACTTTTTGTACCATGACGCACTTAAAGTAAGTTTATTGTAATGTTAAAACTATGATGTTTTATTGGCAGCTTTATGACTATTCATTCACTCAGTTCGGACTATGACGCGACTTTGACATTAAAGTAATATTGCTCTTATGTCAAAGTTAGCAATCTTAAAATAGTTACACGGATGCAATGAAAACAATATTATTTTCAGTTTGATTGTCTTAATATTGATTGGTAATGATTAAAAGTTGAACTTGTTTATAAAACAGTTGAAAGTACTATATAAAAAACGAAATAAAATCATGAATTGTGGGTCGTGACTGTGTAAAAATGTGGCAATGTCTGGTGAAGTTCCACTAATTAGCCGATGAGATCCGAAGATTCGAGAAGTAAATATGAGTCTGCGCATCCGCAACGTCAAATATGTAAAGTTTGACGTTGTTAAAATATTTCAATATTTCCTTCATAATTATCCTTCAATATTTTGTTAAAAAATATTGAAGGTTATGGTTAAATGGTTATGGTAGGCCCCCGTGAGAAGTAATATAAATTTGAACTATTAAGTTAAGCGAGTAAACAAAAACAAACCGGCAAACCGTAAACAAAAAAAAACAAACGAACCCGTGCAAAATTCCTTAATCGTACTGGTACCACTTAGGAATTTATGAAAATTATTTTACTTTTTTCAGCTAAATCATATATTTGTGTAGAACAAAACAAATTTTGTAGTGCCTTTATTACGTAATATGCCTTTATTTGATTATCGAAGCATGTATACTTTTATTTCCTAAGAGTTTAAAATTTTTGTTGTCTGTCTTCCCTTACACATAAAATTTTGGGATTGTTCTTTCCTTTTAAAAATATTAAGAATTATTTCATTTTTAATGACCTTAGTACCTGTTTCTAGATTTTAATTGGTATTATGATATCTTTTTATTAGTACTGTACTATACAGTTTATGTCCTGACTGAAATATTATTCTAAGTACGACTTAGGTTACAGGAGGTACAAATTAGGCAACCAGGTGCCTAAATTGTACCAAAGGTGCTTTTTGAAAATCTTGTCAATAACTGACTCAATAAACATTGTTGGTATTTTCATTAAAACACATTGATAGTAAAATAAATAAAGATCCTGTAGACACTAAAGGTTTTGTTTAATTTTAATAACCTTACATATTACAGCGGTTTTTTCTTAGGGGCTACGACAAACGCAACCTTACCCTACAACCGAATTTCACAGTCTATTTTAATTGAAAAACCATTTATACATATAATTTATTGTATTTTCTCAGTAGCAAAATTAATATTTATGACAAACTAGTGTAGTAATTTCACAAAAAAATGGAATATCAATTCAGTATAAATTAATGTTAGAATATGGTTAGAATTTAAACACAAAAGTGCCAATCATTGCTTGGATGCCAGGAATACATTAGTTTACCCTACTTATTACTACGCTACAAATGAAGAATTATCACGGAGATGTTGCCGTTATAAAACAGTTTAAAGTACTATATAAAAAACGAAATAAAATCATGAATTGTGAGTCGTGACTGTGTATAAAATGTGGCAACGTCTGGGTGCAGTTCCACTAATTAGCCGATGAGATCCGAAGATTCGAGAAGTAAATATGAGTCTGCGCATCCGCAACGTCAAACATGTAAGAGAGGAACCATACTCACGATCATGCTCCGTGCAAGCTGCGTTGAAGAACAAATAGCAACAGTGAATGAGACAGCGTTATAATGTTTGGCGCGCAGCCTTTACAAATGAAAAGATGAAAGTTGTTCATACAAACGTAAAATAAAACACTCAACATACATTTTTTCCTAAGCAGTACTCAGGTGTGCCAATCTCCTATTCCGAACGTGACTATGCTCCCTATGTTTGATGTAAGTGCATATTATTTTAAATAATACAAGTTCAGATAATTGGAATTTAATAATAATCACTTAGTTTAATATATTTGCAATGTATGTTAAATCTAAGGGCCAATGTGTTGGGTTGTAGAATAATTTGGAAGACAACATCAAACGAGGAATCCAATCCTAGGATGCAGAGTCGCGGTTTGGTCGGATACAACAACATTCAACGGCGAGCGACAAAGGAGGAACTACTCTCCCGGCTCAGCCGTGCGGACATTCAACGCGATCATGCATCGTAGTTCACTTACAATTATGCTTTCAACGAACATGCACCACTTCGTCCCTCTTGACTTTACTATCAGTCAATGGCGTTAAGAGTGGAAGTATTAGCTTTGATGAATGCAATGAGAGTCTAATGATGGAATTGACAGTTCGATTGTGATACGCCAAATCAGGTTGGTTCGTGCAATGTTACGTGTACGGTGATGATATATGAATACGATGAGACTATCTCTCCCAGTCCGTTTGGGAAGAAGACACAACCGCAGAAGAGAACAGACCACATCAATGTAGATATAAAGCCGTTTGAAGTCGACATTCAATAGAGGGATCGGGGATTATATGCAGCCAGGCAGGCGGACGCGGTGCACATCACTTACGACGCATTGCGATGCCGACGGCACAGACAGGCTAGAGCCTGATCCACCTCGACCCCTGTACTGGTAGCCCTGCCAAAACAACCACTGTCACTTCACCATCGTTAGCCTCGCTTTCCACTAATTCGCCAACAAACGACTCACACCGCTGCCTCTCTTCAGTATTTATGATATCAGCTTGATTAGAACTTGAGTTTCCCGATTACGGTGAAGCCGGAGGGCTAAATTGATTTGTATGTAAGTATGCGGTGTTACTCCTAGCTTCCTCGAGAATTGTGTAGTTTTCGTTTAGTAGCATGTTCAACAAAGGACTATGACCACTGATCTAACTGAGTAATAAATATGTATAATTGCTTCCGTAGTCGACTATTCGTATTACAAGGATAAAGCTGGTTAGTAAGCTCACGTTATATAAAAAGCAACTACTTTGATGGAAAAAAACTTACGGTCGGCGGCGATAAGTTTACAGCTGATCCGCGACGCTCTTGAGGTCCAATACTGGAGTGACGACGTGTCGGCAATCCAGAGTTACCTCCTGGAGTTCCACCTGGCGACGACGCGCAAGACGGTGCTATACGGATTTTAGGTGTCATCAAGGTATTGTCGGATAGCCGCCTGTTGGAGAATGCACTCGCTACGCGCAAGAAGTTGCTGTCATTATTTGTGGAGTTGTTCGATCCAAAGAACCACTGTCCGATACCTGTGCCTGAATCAAGAAAATCATTAGTAAAAATGACCACAAGATTATGTGCAAGATATAAATTGAGCATTTACCCTTAAAACCACCCATACTGCCGCCAATAGCAGGAGCGCTTGGCCCACTGGTAGAGTTCTTGCGAGCCATGTCTTCGGCACTCGACGTCTTGCGTTTCTCCACGCGCAGATTGGGGATGTTAAATGGAGGTACATTCATATTATCTGTGCTCATCTGATGGCGTAACGCTCTGTGACGCTCGGGACTGGGCAACGACAAGCTGTCTCGTTTTAGCTTGTAGCGCTGGTTCTTATCAATATTGTCCAACATGTCGTACAGAATCTAAAGAGCAATGACAAGGATTTATTATGAGATTTACAGCTGTTAAAAAGGTTACTTTATATTTAATAATTCCTTTTTGTTTAAAAATGGGGTGTAATACCTCCATGATATTAGCGAACTGTTCAACGTTCAAAGCTGGATTGACAGTCTGCGGAGCTAGAGCAGGAATCATCTTTGTCGCCATCACGTTAGTTGTCAACCCAAACTTCCTTTCCAGTAGCATTGATTTATAAAGCTCTGCAACGAGAGTCATAGTGGGTCACATTATTTTCGTCAGTATAGTCAACAATAACGAATTCGCATTGACCGTTCGCATAAGCTAGCAAGTAAATATACAACTCGCAACTTAGCAATTTCGCCACGCGATTTATAGTAAAACTCACATTAATTATCTGTAAGTACTGCACGAAAATCCTATTTGTAGGATTAGATAAATAGATACATAATAAACAATGTCAAAAAGCATTTCGGATCCCACAGTGATATTTGCTCTGTACCCTATTATTGCAAATCGAAAGAACAACTGACATTTGCGTTATCCGTTATGCTCTAATCTGAAGCGGCACTGTGTACTTACTGACGACACGATTTATGATGTCGGGATCACTCAGTCTCATACTCAGAAGAGTTGGGATCACTTGCTCCAGTATATGATTCCTATCAAGCCTTACAAGAATTTTCTCGAAGAAACCAAGAATGAGGCTGATAATTTTAACATCGCTCTGATTCTTCTCCAGTAAAGTTTTCACTTTCACAAGCACCACTGAATGCAAGGTTTTGTCTTCAATATAATCAGAAATAGTTTGAATCGAAATCAAAGAAGCCGTCTGGAAAAAAAATCGTTGATTGTTACACAAATAAATCACCTGACTGTTACTTACAGTGCGGGTCAACAAGTGGCAGTTATAACCTATTAGTAAAAAGTAAATATAAATACCTGTATCTGATTGGAGTTGTTATCAAGTGCGGCAAAGAGCAGTGGCATAATTTCATTATTGATCTCATCTTTTTGGCACTTCTTCAATATAATGTGCAAGTTCTCCAGGATCGTCACTGAGGCCTGAATGCTCTTCGGGGAGTTCATCAAGTTTCTGGAATAAGCAAGTCTAATTCGCCGTGATATAATTTACTATTAATAAATTATAACAACAACAATGAACAAAACTTAGTACATGTTTAGAGCTTGGTAAAAAGTTATAAAGGAACAAAAATTTAAGAGAGAGAAAATTCTTTTTCGAAACAGGGTTCGGGAACATGTGAGGACCATAGGCATATAAGTTTCTTTTGTAATAAATTTGTAAAGGTAATAAAGGCATTTTTTAAATTTTTTTAGTACACATTTCAGTAAAAATATATCCAAAAACTCACTTCAAAGTTGGCAATACGTAAAACGAAAATTCCTCTTGGGTGGCCTCGTTCGTAAGCCAAATTATAGGCTGTAGAACGGCGGCTAAAACTTCTGCGGTGCGGACTTCTAACTGCAACGCGGGCCATACATGCTGCCAACGAAGTTTCTGAAACAGGAACTTTTGTGTAACTGGAAGTAAATACAGCTATTTCGAAGCTTATGACTCCGGACCAAGTATTGGGTTTTGTAGACACTTGTTGAGCGCTACTAGAAACATATAAAGAATTCGCTATACAGTGGCATCCCTTATTTTTCATATATCTATGGTGGTATCTGCCAGTTTATTGTAACAGTACAAAATACTTCAAGCATCACATTAATGTACCATTAATTATAGCACAGAAAAAAAATATGGTTGATACACTTAAAGTACTTGACGACTTTTTTCTGTTCCGTGCTGAACATGCAAATTATACTTTAAAAAATTCGCTTTAGGCTTTCGCTTAGGCAGCTTCACATTTCCATTACTAGTATGTTCAGATATAATAGACTCAGTCCCAAGAAACATAGAAGTAAAATCTGTACTTATCGGGCTATTATTATCAATGCAAAAATATAATTTTTTTCAATAAAGTGCAACCACCTGTCCAGTTAAAACAAAACATCGGTTGATCCAATCTCCACAATCCTTAATGAAAGAGCTGTTTTACGGAAACTCTATAAGAATAAATTGACAATTCTTGGTTCAATTGTAAAACTTTCGACAGATCCCATGATAATGTAATTAAAAAGCTGAATTTGGTGGGCAGGGTTCAAAGGTGGGAGCGGATGTAAAAATAAATTACCTCCCAGCTTACAAGCCACTCCTTAATTAGTTTTCTTTTAACTTTATGCGGGTTAAAAATAAGCGAGGCAATTTTTATTAAGCCTCCAAACACCTCTGTCGCCTTAATCATCTAAGTAGCAAAATTAAAGCGATAATGATATTCCCAACATGAAATTTTAGTATGTTCCACAATATATTACCTAAATGAAAAGTTGAAATGAAAGTTTTGATTATTTCATTATGTTTTATTGTCGATTTCTCAATCGTATGTTGTATGCATGCATATGTTGAGTACCTAATTAAATATATAATAATATCAGCTATGTACTCTATTACAAAGTTATTCTTAGAAGGTGAATAATAATAATTATTATATTTCAAAATTATTTTTTCGAAGACAATTTGTATCTGTCAATAATTTTTTTTACCGATATTGAGCAATCCCCTCAAATAAATTATAAATAAAATATAATATATATATATACATATATATATGATACATATATATAAAATTTTAAATTTTATCAATAAATTAAAAAAAAAAAATTATTAAAAAATTTTTTATTTATTTCAAATAAAATTTGAACCTTATTCTTAAGACCTTATATGCTAAGTTCTGGTAGGGCAGTAGACACACGCACAGGGAATAAGAAAGGTTTTCATGGATACTCCTAAAAATAATTAAATTAAATTATTTAAATTTTTTTTATTTATTTAAAATAAAATTTGAACCTTATTCTTAAGACCTTATATGCTAAGTTCTGGTAGGGCAGTAGACACACGCACAGGGAATAAGAAAGGTTTTCATGGATACTCCTAAAAATAATTAGTAAACGCCGCTGTACATGTACATCTTAAGATGTAAAATTAGTATGTGATGACTATTGTAATATTAATTCACATTAGGATTATCAAATATCAATTTTCACTTTTTTATCTTTTCAGCGCGTTTGGTGGTAAAATTAAAAACAAAAAGGTTTTTTGTATATATTATCAGATAATATCCTAATTATCGCACAATGTCATACCTTTGGGATGTACGGTAGGGCGTCGATGAGCTGTCCACGATAGAAGTTTGCCTTTTGGTTGGGATCCTTCATAGTTATAACGTCTAAAAACTGTAACGCCTGAATAGCGATCTCGGCCTGACCCCTGAAACAATGTTTTTTTTTTAATTTTGTGTTCGCCGACCAATACGACTGAAAATCAGCGTCTCTCTCGCCAGAGATAGACTTTTTGCTGAGTCGTCTCCTTTTCCTCTTTTGTGTCACTTTGCATTCTTATTTATAGATTATTTAATAAATAGCTATCAATTTAATGTTATGTTTATAATTTAGGGATGTAAAGTGACTTAAATGTGCGAATAAACGTTTTTCTTTCTTCTTTCTTTCTTTACCACAATTTTATATACACTTCTGGACACATAATTCGAGCCACCGCTCATATTCAGTATTAAGTGCCCTAAGCTTAAACAATGTTTGATTGATTAAAATCTATTACACAAATTTGAAACTAGTATACTAAACTTCTTTTCCATAAGACTTTGTTGGGAATATGCATTTGCAAAACCGGGGAAAACTTTTCCTTCGATAACAACACTATTGCTGTGTTCTTACGACAAAAATGCGAGGTGGCTCGAATTATACGCCCGGGAGTATATAATCTCAGTACAGAGTACTAAAGAAACCGACCCCAAAAGTCATTCATCCCCTAGTTTTCCACCCTTGGAGGTGGAATATTTTCTTCAAATTTAAATGAGAACGCTACTGAGGTGGGAACCTCAGTAGCGTTTTTCCAACAAAAACAGTATCATAAAATCGCGTAACATACATACAAAATAACAAAAAAAAACATGCAGTCGAATTGAGAACCTCCTTTTTTTGAATGCGATTAATAATAAGTTAAAGCTGGCGTCTCAAATTATGGTTGCATATGAATGCTAGTTGAATATAAAATGTATAAAAGTATATGGGCAAGCCATGGTTTTGGAGATTAGGGTACTCAGTAGTGGTGTAGTAGTTGCCAGCGATTGCACAATTTCGTAAGTAATTCATATGGGTAACGATACAATTGACCGTTGAGCAATCTGTCTCATAATTCCTACTATAGCCAGGCGTTCATTATCAAAAGTAATATTTATATTTAGATCTATACGAGTAGAGGCTCCCAATCTTAATTTTCTCGTAGACCACTTGCTAATTTTGTTTCTGTTTTTCATAAGTATACCTTTAAATTTTTTATATGATTTCTTTTACAAATTCACCTATTTCAAATGTGATTTGAAAGTTGACACATCGTCACTCACTTACATAACCTTTATAAACGCAGAAACGCATGTTAAGTTTTATACATTTGTGTGTGAGACTGCAAAATTTTATTTAAGAAAACTATACAATGTGCAGTTCTTGGACTCAATAGAAAAGCAGTGAGTGTGTTTTATAAATTTTACGTGTTCTTAACCATTACGAACTATGACAATATCAGCGAGCACAAAATACTTCATGTCCTCAGTGTCCATTATTTCGTGAATTCGCACAAATTAAAATTATTCAGTGAATATGAAATGTCAATGTCAAAAATAGATACGGTAAGGAAAAGTAGAAGTAAATATATATAAATAATATGTAATATAATATATATATAAATAATATAATATAAATAAAAATATTATTCCTTCATGTAATGTTTCCACTATAGAGTGTATTGGAAAACTTTCAGAGACTAAATAGAATGTCTGTACTGGTTTACCTGACTCTTGTACATTTTTAATACTTTAGTCATTGACCGACCAATAGGTCAATGACTTTAGTACATATCTCAGCCGAAACATTAATGCGACTTATATCGAAAAAATATTTAGGAAATATCAAAATAGATTTAAAAAATTAAGTACGTGTCGATAGTTACATATGACACTAAACTTTTGTTAAAAATATGACAAAATTTTATTATAGTAACGATGTATTTCTTTTCAATTTCGTTACATTAAAGTTTTAAAACTTATAATTAATTTCAAAAACCTCTCACAAGATGTCACTAGTGGCGACAAATGCTGAAAAGTCAGTACAAAGATCTATAATAAAACACATAGGAGAATTTCTACGACTTAGTAACTGGACTCGTGGCGAAGATAGTGAAGTTATTTCAAAAAATATCTCAAAAAATATAATAGTTAATTTATTATAATAATAAATTATAATCAATTGTTGAGTTAGTTCCCGGGGTAAGTTGTTCTCACAGCAATAACTTTGCAAGGAAAGTATGTAGCAATACATGTGAAGCGCGTCGTTAAAGCATCAAGTGATGCGTCTTGCCGGCAGCCATTTCAGTAACTCCGGCGACGACGTGTGGCTATGTACGTGGAGCCGTCAAAATATCACGTAAGTAAATTTTTTCTTGTTTCAATTTTTTGGTCTGTCTTTGTATATTATGGGCCGATTCATACGTAACTTTTCTAAATTGTAGTGAGATTAGGAAGGAATCTTATAGTTTGAGTATTTTTTTATTGATTCTATTACTTTGCCGGTATGTCAGTCTTCGTATAAAGACGTAATTTGGGGCTACAAGTTCCTCTTTCGAGGGGCTGGTTGTTCCTAGGAACAACTTCCCCAATTGGCCTGCAATCATACTTAAAATTTTTATGACCATTTTTCTTTGTTTTAAGGATGCCAAACTACAAACAGGCTCATGTCAAATATTTAGACAAGATGATAGAGTCACTTATGTGTGTCTCAACTGTGATTCATATGAAGAAATGAGCGATGAATAATATTACTGATGAATAAGAATGTAGTTGTTTTTTTTTAAGTTACTTGTGCATAATATAAACATTACATACATACAATCATGAAAAAGGTTGGTTTTATTTAAGAAAATTGTGTTATTCTGTCACAATCTAGGCGGAACAATTTGCCTCAAATGCGGAACAACGCGCCCCAAAGTGAGGCTGAATGTTCCGATCCGAAATTTGTAAAAAATTTGCCTCTATGAAAAAGACTATTGAGATATTAGTAGAAGTACCTATACTATTAGAAAAAGCGATAAACATTTGTTAAACATTTCCATATGTTGAAAATCAAATCCTTCATTTTCAGTATAAAACTACAAGTTATTTGAAAATCGGAACTTTCAGCCCCGCCCTCCCCTACAGAAGTTTTTTTTGTAGAAGTAGAGTTCCTTGAGAAAGAGTTAGTCCTGGCAAGTACTACCTACCTGTTTTCACCGCCAAGGAGTAATGTGAGCATTACTGCGTTCTGGTTTTGAAGGGTAAGGGTGCTGGCCAAATTACGTGTCAACCTAAATCTTCAGTGACTGGCGTAGTGGCAATGCCCCGCAGATCTTTGCGATTTACAGATTCAGCAATGGATTTAACGATATATGTAATTCCTTTGTTGCCCTACTAGTAGTTACACGACTACTAGTAGTTACACGGGTAATAATAATCTCCCGTGTAACTGCTGACACGCCCCTAGTAGTTACAGGGGCAATAATAATCTCCCGTGTAACTACCGACAGGCCTAGGCCGTGATACTACTAGTAGTATCACGGGTAATTGTTTTTGTCTGTGGTACTACCACTAGTAATACGGGCATAATACTTTCCTGTATTACTACTACCAAGATAAGAAGCGTTTTATTAATTTCATAAAACAAATGAAACCAAAAGCCAAACAGTACAATAAATTGTGCAACCATTTTATTTGGGTTTTGTTATTTCCTTGTCACTGTATTATATTACCTTAAATGTTTAAGACCGCCATATTTTCTTATATTAAGAATGAAAGAATGTTTTTTTTCATCCTTTCATTCTTAATATGAATAACTGCATTCCCAGTATTTTTTTTAAAAGCCTACCTGATTCTGAAGTCCGCAATCGAACCAACAAAAAATGCAAAAAATAAACACTTTCAGTTTATTAGATGTTTCCCCACCATAATATTCATGTATTTTATGTGAAATTACTCTACTAGTTTGTTATAATTATTAATACTAAGATGTTTTTAAAGATTTAACATTTTTTCCTTCCGCGTAGGTCTACAGTATCTAATCTTATATTATTGAACGAATTTGTCTCACAATCTATAGACAGTGGCCTTCAAGTAGATGTAATCTATACTAATTATAGTAAGGCTTTTGATAAAATTGACCATAATATCCTTATGACTTTATTTATCCTATTGGTATCAGAGGTGAACTTCTTAGGTGGTTTTCTTCATACATAAGCAACAGATCTCAAGCAGTGGTAGTAAATAATTACACATCCGGTTGGGTTACCGTACCTAGCGGTGTTCCTCAAGGTTCATCGTCAGGGCCACTCCTTTTATATATTCCAATATATTTGTTAATGACATTAGTAATTGCTTCCGCTTTTCCAATTTACTCAGCTTTGCTGATGATATGAAAATTTATGCCAAAATCACTTCTGTTGATGATGTATTGCTCTGCAGCCTGATCTGTCGCGGCTAGATAACTACTGTCTGAACAATAAATTAGATCTTAACCCCTCCAAATGTTTTTAGTTGCTTTTTCACGCTAGGTCAAAACTATTTTTATTTCTTATAGTTTGAAAAACCGCTGTCTAAAACGAAAGACAGTCATGAGCGATCTGGGTGTCATCCATAATAATAATAATAACGCACACACTCAACATAGCCCCGCACTAGGGTAACCCTGTGTCGCGGGTGCTATGGACACACACATGAAAACCACAAATTACACCCAAACTCACGAGAGAAATAAATGTAGGCCATACAAATATTTCTCCCGGCCCGGGAATCGAACCTGGGACCTCCGCGTGGCAGTCCGGGATGGTAATAGTTCGGCCACGAAGGGAGTTAGGCAGTTAGATCCATGACTCAAAGCTGATGTTTGATACTCATATTGATGATGTTATCTCCAAGGCTACTAGTATCTTGGATTGATAATGCGTAATTCAGTCTGTTTCTTAAGGCCAACACCTTCACGAATATTGTATTGTGCATATGTTCGTAGTAAGTTGGAATATGCTTTCCAAATCTGTAGTCCGAGATACCAAGTCTGTATAGACAGAATTGAATGACTCCAAAATAAATTTATTAAATTGTTGTGCTATAAAATAAGTAAGTCTTATAATTCATGCGACTACACACGTCTCTGTAAATATCTGAATATAAATATTCGCCGAAAAACCTTTGATATTGCGTATATTCTAAACATTGTAAATAGTAATGTTGACTGCTTTGACTTATTGGGTGATATTTCGTTTACTGCACCTACTCGTTCTATGAGACACTATCTATTGCAGTTCCCTTAGCGAGGACTAACTATAGACAAAATATTTTTCTATGTAGAGCTAGCAAGAGCTTGGGTAGTGTGCTGAGCCATCATGACCTGGCAGTTGATATATTCAATTGTAATGTTAATATGCTAAAGCGTAAACACACGGACATTCTATTTACCTAACTTTTTTGAATAATTTATGATTAGCGCAGGTACTGGGTTGTTATATTTATGTAAATGCATGTTGTTAAGAAATACTGTTTAAAGTTCGTTTGTTTAATGCTCGTGTATGATTTGTCTGAAGCTATAGGTGGAAACCTGTAATTGGCTTTATGTTTATGTTCCTGATCTTATTAAATGTCAGAAGCTGTTGGTTTTCCATGAATGAATAAACAAATAAATAAAATTCAATTTTGAGGTAGTTAAACGATTGTCAAGTAAATCATTGTGAATTTAGGCTGTGGCACAAGAGTACCAGTTAAATGTTGTCGGAATACACTCCCATATAGAGACGAGTTCAAAATTGGAAGACAAGTTCAAGCTGTTGCGAAGTTTAGTTTAATTTGTGCAGCACAGAATATACGAACATCTTTGCGCCCGTTTTCGATCACGAAAGCAGCATTATGTGCAGATTACTCATATACCCACACTAAACCAAACAAGCTACGTTAATTGAAAAATATCTTTTATGTATGGAAGACGTACTCGCATATAATCAGCTATTGTTGATTTTTTTTTATAAAATACTAAGTAGGTATTTGCTATCTCACCTGATGGAAAGGTCGATGAGGTCGACACTGGAGCACGTGTACATAAATAATGTCTATTCAATACTCTCGCCTTGAAAGGGCCTAAGTTATAGAGTTCAGGGTATAATTCTGTAGGCCGGGAATTCCACTACACAGCTGTTCGTCATGTAAGTGTGTGAATGTGAGAGGTTAGCGCTTTGTGCGAATTTTGAGAATACCCACAATATAGGGTAGCTTCCCGATGATTGTTAGAAATCAGAAGATGCAATGTATATTCATAAAAGTTAGTACATAACTATCACTACCTGTTCAGTCGCGTCTCACACGCCTATGATATTTCAAAGAATGCCTGAAAATATATAATATTACAAACTGAATTGAAAATAAAAAGGTATTACGTTTGTATGTAGTATGTCAAAGACTAGGAAAATTGACACGTATGTTTCAAAATTTAGTGTCGTATATACTTTATAATAAAAGACTAGAAAAAATTGTTCGCTTAAATTACTCGAAGAAGTCAAAGCCTTTATGGAGACGGAAAGACAGCGAAATGTAAGTAAACTAAAGTGCTATTAAGGTCTAGTAAATTATACCAGTGTAATAGAAATTTTGTTATAAACGCTTCAAGTATACTAAGGAAGTTTGATAAGTGTTAACAAATGAGACCAGAAATTTGATCGGATAGAGGAGATAAACTTCTAGTGATTTGAGAGTCGGCACGGCCGGGGCAGAGATTGAGTTAAGTAACATTGCATCCCACGACGAGTAGAGGCACTAGCGCGTCCCACCCGCCTTCGGGGAATGATGCTGCTCAACCTCGTGTGACTTAAAGCCCCGCAAGTTTATAGCTGATTATAACTTTGATAGAATTTGCAATTTTCATCAGTTTATAACTGTTTTTGAAGGGATATTATGTGGGTAACTTCAGTATGGTTTGAATTGTAACGGTTGTAATATCCAGACAATTTCTCCGAACTGAACGTCAGGTCTAAATACATAAATATACGAAGTGTTGCATGCTTAAAAACAAACAATATCCCAGTTAAATTGATAGCTATGTTAGAGAGTTACACAACCTTAACTTCTTGTACCTGCTCGAATTTGCTTGTGCAGTTCTTTACACTGGGTGTCCTTGACCGAGTTTCAGATAGAGGTAACAAAGAAACACTAAAAAAGTTAAAAGATTTGCGTTTATACATTTTATTTTTAAGTTATCGGTTTTTATGAGCCACAGTGTTACTTATATGTGTCACTTTAGGAACGCGAGTACTCACGTTCCTAAAGTTTAAACTACTTGATCGGGGTTACTTTTATTGACTGATTCTGACAGATACTATAGTACCTAAATACTTTGAGGTACGAAATGACGAAATGCCTTGACTTATTTAGTCGGAATGTAGGTATGATGATGCTATTTCTTGTGGTAAGTGAAATTTTATTAAATAATTCATCGTTTGTTAGTTACTTAACAATGATGCTATTAGCTTAGTCGCAAGCCGAAAAAACTCAAATGCAAAGATATATCTTTATATCCACTGTCTGTTATATATAACAGACAGTGGTCCCAGGTTCGAGTAAATTAAAAAAAAAGTAAGTCGAAAATATTTTTATTTGTGTTCGATCTTTGTATTCAATCATTATAGCAAATTAGTGGAGGTATTTCACAAAAACTATAATATGAATATCGCGGTGTTTCAACAATGTGAAATTCAATAAACAAATCAATTATTGATGTTAACAAATAAATAAATGTTAGACAACATCACATACGTTGCTCTGATCCCGAAGTAAATGACTGAAGCACTTGTGTTATGGAAATCGGAAATAACGACGGTACCACAAACACCCAGATCCGAGACAATACAGAAAAGTTAGTTATTACACTGACCCGACAGATATTCGAACCCGGGATCTCGGAGAGGGTGACAGCACGAAAACAGGTGCGCAAGCCACTCAACTACCGAGGTCGTCAAAAATCATCGAGTATATACATTAAGTATATAACCAGAAATAGACGCGAAATGTCATTTAATTTGTTTGAAAACTATTTTGCCATATTATTAATGTGACAACTGCGCTCCGATTGGCAAGCCCGAGTTCGAAACAATTTACGGGTGTCGTCAATGGGTGTCGTCAACTGTTTCACATCAAATCGACCAGTTAAAAAAAAATTGCAAAATTTTTAAATTACATATTTAATATTTAATTGCCGATGAAATGTGATTCCGTTTGTTTTGTAATTAGATGTTTTGCTGTTTTCCTACACCACCGTATAGAATAGCACGGCATTGTTAAAGATATTATCTTTATTACAATAAATTCAGAATATTTTTTGTAATATACGGAGACGTACACAAAGGTCAGTACTTGGCCTGTCTATATTTCAGTGCCAACGGGAGTTGATATTTATAAGAGCTGTATCGCTAATGTGTTACCAGAAATATATATGGCCCTTATTTAGTCTCTATTTCTGGTTATATACTCGATGTCAAAAATTAATGAAAAGTGTTATTCTTTTTATGATGCAAAATGACGGGACGTACAAGTGGTGTGCGTGGTTGTAAGCGACACGCCTGTCCATAATAGTTGCTTTAAATCGCAAAGAGCTGAGGCACTGACTGCGTCCGTCACCCTGAGACATAAGTTGATAAGTCCCATGTGTCTGTAATTTCACCAGCAACACTGACCCTTCAAAACCGTAGCACATTACTGCTTGAGACTGAAATATGTGCAAGGGAAACATAAAAGTATTCACGATGTAATGCAGTGATATAAAAAAAATTTTGGTCAAGATTGTGCTTTTGTTTTTCACATGATATGATGATGGAAACTTACTTGAAGTACTTGATGAGAGGTAGCAGTTGGGTAGTTGGTCGCGGGTGTGGGTCTCGTGACAGCAGTCGCTGGACCGCCTCTTGCAGGGCGGCTGGCACGCGCGGTAGTACCGCATTCACTTGTTGATCCAACTGTATCCGACATACAATTATTGTTATTGTATTATACTTGTTTATAAATTTTGTAATTTGTTTAAATTACCTTAGGACATTACGGACTGTAGTCATTTATTTAAATATACTTATGTTTTATGCTTTGCATAATTGCAATTTTAAAAATGAAAATACATACATCTTTGCTTTTTTTATTTTTGCTTACATACATCTCAAGATATTTTATACTTTTCAGAATTCGTATTTTAATGATATCCATATTTTTCCTACTTTTTATCTTTCGCCTACATAGAATGTTCATGAACTTGAAAGTGATTCTAAACGATTATAAACGTTACAAAAATAACGGATTTTTAAAAGCCATTAGCTTGTTTGCTTTCTCGTAAAGATAAAGAGGCCGTAGGCGAAATGAATAATAAATCCTTGGAGACCTTAACAGTAATCTTTTTCTATTTTAAACGTGTAGTAAAGTCGCCACAACAGGTCACAGCGGCCAAAGTTATGACACCAGTGTCAGGTAATTGTCGACGAAGTTAATGTCACCGCTTGCTTACGTCTCAAGACCTTATGTCAAAGGACAAGTAAAAAATAAAAACTACTTATGAATCGTTTCTCTTTCCATTTCCACTGTCGAATTCACCGCGTCAATTAGTGCTTGCAACTTGTGAAAAAACACTCTGCAACAAACAGTCTAGCCAAGGGCAGAATTATATATCATTTGTAAGTATATTTCTAGTATTGATTACTAGTTTCAATAGCAGGCATACGATATGAAATAAATTAAATCGATCGATATTTTAATCTGTTCTGCTGAGCTTGAAGTGTTTGGTTAGTATAAATTAACTTTGATAGTTTTATGTTTGGCCTCAAAACTAAATCAAATGAGCATTAAAAATAAAATTTAGATACTTGTTTATAAAAGTAAGTTAATGTTGATTGTATTTGTATACTAATATCATATTAGGTAACTATAATATAATTTAACCGCATGTCGCTGCCGCTGGCACTCGCCGGCCGCTGCCGCGACACGCTTGCTTCGCTCGTTCTGCTGGTGCTGCTTTTTCATATTCTAACCTTTTTTTACTTAGTTACAATCAATAACATCAATCGTTAAAAGAGAAGACCAATGATAAAGAATGAAATATTATTTTTGAATACAAAATATGAATTTTTTATGCTTAAACATAATAATAGTGTTACCTTGATTGCAGTTCATGTATAAATTTATCCGTAGATCAACTAATAAAGATTTATATATATGTCAAACTTAAAAAAAATCGTTTATTTAAAAAAGGCACATTTACTTAATAAATCAATTATTTCTTTGAGGAGTGATCTCAAAGAAATAATTGATTTATTAAGTAAACGATGACTAGCTAACGTTATTTGATAACGTTCGCTAGTTATCGTTTGACTAATTTGCCGAATTGAATATTTTGTTTTAGTACGTACAAAAAACGATATCCATAATATATTTTTGATTTATGTTTTGTTTTATTTCGGATTTAATTTAGTGTGATTGCCGCGATAAATCAAATTATCTGTGGTGTTTTGGTTAGTTTAATTACATTAAAATACATTTAATTCTTGGTAAAAGGTGGTTTTTAATAGTCCCATACTTTTACATGAGTTACGTATTTGTAAATAAAGTTAAAGTTGTTATCATAAACTCCGATAATTATTTAAAATAAATGGAAATGCAAACAAATTCACTTTTGGCACTGTGCTGCTTTTTCATATACTAACCTGACCTAACCTACTAATTGGGGAGCGCATCCAAGTTCGACCCTGACATGGGATTGTATTTTTAAATTCTTTTGCTATGTTATCTGCTCGGACTATTGTTCCTATATTGTATGTAATTGGATTGAATACTAAAATAATTTGAGATTTACCAAGGCGAGTGTGAATTTTTTCTAGGAAACTCTAAGCATCCATCTTCGACTACACCATCACTTACCATCTGTGACTTATGTACACATCGCATGGTACTTTGCATCTTAATGCTATAAGTATTCATAATATTTTAAGTAATTTAAAAATGCTTCCATCCATCCGGTAACCTTGGCGGTTTCTAACACAAAGAACCGTAGTAGAAAACACTTGTGACTTCATATTAATAATTCATATATAATATGAATTATTTTGATTCGTCGAAGAACTAAACTAATTTTAATAATCACACAAAATTGTAAGTACAAGCCAGAATAAAAATTGATGAGGTGCAAATTCAGAATGCATTCGAAGATATTTTTTTTTCTTTTGATTAAATAAACTGACGTTTTATAGTTCAACTGTTTTTCTTTCATCTACGATTTTGCTCGCTATAGTGAGGAGTAACACACAACTTTTTTCTTCAGTAAAGTGTATTGGTAAGATTTGCGGTCTCACCTGGTAATATTTCATATATCACCTAAACATATCTGAAAGCACTTATGGAAAATTTTATAATAATACGAAAAGTAAAACAGTCGCTCCATTTTCTTTTCTTTATTTAAATGTTTTAGTAAATCGCTCAGAACTCCGTTTCTTACCGCTGAACCCATTTTATGTTAACGCAATTTAATGAAATTCTGAATAAATCTTGTCCACGTACACTGCGTCTACAGCCGAACTGATTTCAAAGTTAATAATAATGTTTAGGTGCGTCACACATTTTTTCTTTTCATTGCCTTTACACGTGTTGGTTACAGACATGAAATTACGTTAGCTCAGCAGTAAGCTGAAGTTATTCTAATCTGATATTTTGTGAGCACGTTTACCAACTGTTTGAAAAACATCCTTTTTGGTTTGTTGTAAAGAGTTAGGCAAACAATGGATATCTGACTGTGCAATCTATTTTCCGATCTCTTAGCAAAAAGATTGGTTAGGTATTGACAGGCAACAATTTAGTTAGATTCAAAGCTTCGTGATTGATTAACGTGGGCATATGAAGATTGACTTCGTCGGGTTAACAACAAATCATGTCTTGCAAGACACGTGAGGCTTAAGCAAATCGTATAGACCGCTTAAACTAATTAAATTGAAATGACTGTACATCGACTTGGTATTCACCCAATATCATACCGATTTCTTTCAATTTCAAATATAAATTTTCAATTTCTGGTTTATTTATACCTGGCATCATCATTAACAACAACTCATATGTACATCCCACTACTGGGCACGGGTCTCATCTCAGGCGAGGGTGTAAGCCACTACAGGGTGTAGTTTCTTAAAGTGGTCCCAATCGCTCCTCAGTGGGCGCTGAAGAGTCCTAGAGACGGAGTAGCAGGACGTCGGAAGCATTTGGGGGCGTTGATGCTGTCCAGAGGGTGCTACCGCATTTAAAAAACAACCTGAATGATCTATACATATAATCTACATTGCATATATAGCACTGTTAATACAAGTGTATTAAATGAAAAATGTATTTTTTCAGAATCGATGAAAAACGAATACTCACTTCCCGTGAAAGATCAGTACAATTTATGTATAGGATAAAGTTTATTACTGACATCTAAACAATTTCCTACTGGCTCAATTTTTAAAAATAAAAGGGAACATATAATTTCATATCTTTGAGCAAGGACTGTATGTTTTGGCCAGAACTAGCTCATATAAAGTTTGTTTGTTTGTTGTTTCTTACAAATATTCTATCGATGGTTTAATTGACGTGTAGAGAATCAAATTTTGGTTTGTCAATGATTTAATCCTGAAATTCATATATCGTCGCCTTATTTTCTCAAGCTCGTATCTTAAAGTACAAAGTTACTAAATGCAAAGAATGGACTGTACCTACAAATTTTGCAGGTTGATTTCAATCACATTTCCTTCATATTCACACACTGGCTTTTACCTATTCTTAAAGTAATAAATTAAAACCCTTGGTAAGAAATTTAAAATAAATAGAAAGTTTTGCCATCTCCTGAATAATCGCTCTTTATGATACGAGTTTGAGAAAGTAAGGCATCGATATTTTGAGTTACAACACTATTGTAATATTAGTGCGATGTGTATGGATGTGTATCATTTTTTTCCCTTATTTTTAACCGACTTCAAAAAAGGAGGAGGTCCTCAATTCGACTGTATGTTCTTTTTTTTGTATGTATGTTACGCAATAACGCCGGTATTTGTGAACCAATTTACATGATTCTCTTTGTTGGAAAGGGGGTACTTCCATAGTGGTCCCATTTCATTTTGAAGAAAATCATCCACCTGTAAGTGGCTTCTCACGCATGAAGATTCATTTTTATAAATAGCGCCTAAACTTTAATTTAGGAGCAATTATTTTAATGGTTGATTTTGCTATTTTTCCAATTCAAGGCGTTTTTCTCTCGATACACTTTGGGTAGTGAGTACCGATTTTTATTATCTCCAGTGTCAAGTCCTGTATAGTGGCGATTTAGGGGATATTTCCAAAAAAATTGGCAAATAGACTTAATTCCTCGTACTTTTGAGGTCGGTTTTTTTAGTACTCTGTACTGAGATTATTTATTTATTATTTTTTTGTAGTGGTGAGCCAAAATGTTTGTGAATCTATGGTTTAAGCTGGCCCAATGCAGGTGGGGGTTCATATTTTCCAAGTGTAGTGAACGTTCGATGTGCAGGTTTTGTTTTCCTACACCGTAAAGCTCAAGGTAATTTTCAAATTACATTTCGCACATAAATTCCGAGAAACTTAGAGGTACGAGTCCGGATACAAAACCACGGCCTCACGGATTGGTCCCAACCTCAGTTTGTACTTTATGACGAATGTATTTTGAATAAATATTCTTATGATTTTTGGTTTTTGATGTTTTGATTTCATTTGTCGTGCAAACTAATGAAGTCTATTATTGCGCTTGATACTGCTTCTTTTTCTTCTTAGTGTACCCCTTCTTTACGTAAGTTGGCGACCATAATGGCTATTATTATTTTTGAAGCTGCTGCACGAAAGAGGGAACATGTGCTAAGGTGGAACCAGTCTCTAAGGTTCTTCAACAACGAGGTTTTCCTTCTGCCTCGACTACGCTTCTCTTGTTTTGATACTGCTGAATAAAATGATAACTTTTCTGGTTTTTATAACCGTAGCATGAATAATTTTCTATTATTTAGAGGCTTTTTTTGCTATTTTAATTACACTATTCGTTGACCTGGTCAGGTCAATGACACTAGTACATAAATTAGTTACAATGGTACTTACGAATTCAATCTGCTTCATATAAAGCAGGGGGTTATTGTTGGCCTGGATGAGTGGCTTGCCATTGTTGAACACGGCGCAAATCACCAGCCCGAGGGAGAACATGTCCGACAGAATGTTGCACTGCCCGTTAGTTTGGACCTCAGGAGCTAATAATAAACAATTAGGATTGGAACATTTTCACCAATGACTTTACATGTAACTAATTTAAAGCCGATGAACATCTGAGTATATCATAGGTATATACTAATCTATAGAGTATATAGTAAAGTTTTTGTATAGTATTTGCATAAAAATAAAAAATCAAATCATACGAAAAAATATTTTTCTGTTTTCTTTATTGGTTAGGTTAAAGTATTTAATATCTTTCTTTTGTTTGTTTTGTTTTCATTGTTAATTTTCGTTTAGTATCAGTTTTGGATGTGGTGCAAAGCAACGATATCTATATGTACTTTTGGTAAAAAAATTACCTTTATTACAAATTAAAAGTTTTTTATCTAACATCAGCAAGTGGCTTTGACTTCAGAAAGGTGACCGGTGATTTTTCCTACCGTCCGATGCACTATCGTCATGGTCACACAGAAGTTTACGAACAAAAGTAGGTATCAAAACTGACATTTATAAATTTTCTGAGATTTCGTAACACTTTTTAAAATAACATGAGTTTTAGAGACAGAGCTACATTATTACTTTAGCAGTATTGTATAAAGCTATCTCTATCTTCCCTTCCACTGTTTGCTTGACGTGTGGATGTAAAAATCAACATTCATTCATTTATATAATATACCTATTTCGTTACAGCCAGCAATATTTGAAATATTAGAAAAACTTATAAATAATAGACTTGTCTATTTGGCGAAACAATCCTTATTATCTAAAACACATTTCGGTTTTAGATCTAAATTATTGACATCTGACACTGGGCATCACTGGGCTTTTGATACAGTTTACATACCCATCTTATTGTAGAAGCTTGAATCCCTAGGTATAAAGGGCATCATAGAGGCATACAGCTAAAATTACTCAGAGACTAATTGGAGAACTGCTCCCAATGTGTTAAAATATGTAACTTTTTCAGTTCTGATCTGAAGACTACTTCATTTGGAGTTCCCCAAGGAAATATTTTAGGTCTCACTCTGTTTCTGATGTACATTAATGACCTTTGTATGGAATTAGATGTTGGGAAGATCATAAACTATGCTGATGATACTGTTCTGCTTTTTTCTGCTAACTCTGATAAGAAATTAGAGTATGCTCAATGAGGACTCAATGTTGTAAATAACTGGCTCCAGCTACATTTAACGGATAATACTAGTAGTTCATGCAGTTCTATATGCGAAAATCAAAGTCTGCTAGAAGTAACACAAAACTAAAATAATGTTCACCATTAAGTGTTAAGACATTGTTATTACGAACAAGATAAACTATTAGGTGTTATAATTGATGATAACCTCACTATTAGGCGCCATCGAAGCACTAAGCGACCGAATCCGTGTTAATGTTTGTGTTTGAAAAACTACACACTTTTGCTGATTTTAAAATAATCAGGCAAGTATATTATGCCTTATGTCAATCAATTATTACTTACTGCATTACATCATGGGGTGGTATTGCTAAAACTTCATTACTAATCATTGAGAGAGCCCTGCGAGCCGTTCTAAAGATTTCTTCCTACCACCTTTTTTTACCCTATTGTCCTTCTGTGTAGGGTAGGGTATAGGGTCGTGTAGGGTACTAACTGTAAAGCAATTATTATTAACCCCACAGTCCTCAAATAGCACGTTGTACTCTCATTTAGCACTGAAAACACTAACAAAAGATGGAAATATATTGTCTGCCTCAAAGTTATATCATCAAAACATGTTTAAACATGTGTGTTTAATTGTGTTTAATTCCAAAATTTTTTCTGTTTCTTGGACCATTTTTGTACAATAAATTAACGTCAAATTGGCTTTACTTTCATGTAACAAAAATTATTTATGGTAACAAAAATTACATAATAAGGAAATTTTCCAAGAAGTCGTTCAAAATATGTCCTACGATGATACAGAGAATTTATTAGTTATCCCAAAATATAAATGTTGTCTAATTTAAGCGTATAGGTATATGATATGCATTTTATTGTTTAATTAATCTTTTGTTTATAATTTAATATCCACGTGTATAATTAGTACTTTTTACCTGAAATACAGGATTCTCTTAGTTCAGGTAAATGTCTTATATTTTACATTGGTTCGCATAATTAGTCTTTAGTTATTCCTTTGTACAATCAAGAGCACATCAAGCTTGATACTTTGTACTTTCATCGTTCTTATCATAAGCGGCATAGAGTTCAATTTAAGTCATAAGTATCAGGCTTGACGTGTTCTTGACCCTGTACAACAACTTATTCAATAAACAATTTTATTTTATTTATTATTCAGGTTCTATCACGATGTTGTCCTTCACCGAAAATCTCAAAGTAAATTTCAAATTAAATTTCGCATATAAATTCCGAGAAACTCAGAGGTGCGGGCCCGGATTCGAACCCACGACTCTCTGCTCGAGAGGCTGTAGGTCAAACCATTAGGTTACCGCGGGTTTTAAGGGTTAATGCTCGTGTTTCGGTGTGTTTGAGTTGTTGTAATTCTTTTCATCCATATATATACACTTATAGAAGAAACTGTATGCTTACTTTTTAATATATGTTTACAAATGGAATAATCATGCTGTATGTACGTAGGACAGCACAACAAGCTACACATTGACGGCTTATGTTCCGTTGTTCTGAAGGCGTTGTAAGTATTTTGCCACATTTACTAATATTATGCGCCCCGAATTTTGTGAAAAAAATTTGAAACAAAAAAAAAATCCGAAAAAAAAAGAAAAACATATATTGTGAAAAAATAAGAAGAAAAAAACAAAATAAGAACAGAACAAGCCCAAAACAAAGTAGGTGTAGTGTTCATTGGAGGTATCGATATCGATGTTAGGTTTAAATACTCGTACATACATCTACAACTTAAGATTAAATCTATAAATTGTAATATCCATTGGAGTACCATTGAATGTTAACTATTTTGTGCATCTAATAAATAAATCGTGTTGCCAATATATTAAAATAAGCTACTTGTATCACGAAACCAAAATCTTGAAGAACATACTTTCTATGTCTGAATATTGAGATTAAACATTTCGCACTATTATACATGCGATGACTCTAGAATTAATTGCGTACTATAGGTGTCATTGTTACTGGACGATGCGTCTCGTCGGCGCCCAGTTGAGCAATTACTCAATGGGCGCCAGCGGAGTTCTAAGCAAACGAGTAGTTAGTAGTAAAGCAGAGTGAGGCTTTTGTTGGAAATGCCTAATTTACAACGTGCCTACTAAGTCTTAAAACACCTAATACGTTAAAGGGGTAATGCGTAAAAGGTAAATTTGTGAAACAACTTACTCAAAAGAGGAGAATTTTACGATTTACTTCCCTGTCGTCTTTTACTAAGTCCTTTGTCTAATCAACTGTATAATGATTTAGGCTTTCCAGGTTTGGCAGTCATTTCGCGAGTTAAACATTTCCTGACTAAAATGGATTGGACTTAACCCGATAGTTGCTCGACAGTAATTTTGTTGTGTCATTATTTTTTAACTAAACTCACTGCAAGCGGAAGTTTTATTACGTGTTATTCTATAAGCACAGAACAGTTCATGGTGTTAAAATATAAAGCTAACGTAGTTTGTTGCTTATAAGCAAAAAGAAAATCTTAGTTTATTTACGGTTAAGTACTTACCCAAATAATCAAGGTTTGGTTGGCAAATTTTGGCCACCTTTATGGACCACGGTGGCACCGTCATCATCTCAGTTGGATCGGTTCCGATGATATTTTCTGTACAAAAAGAAATAGTTCAGATTACATTTATACATATTTAAGTATAGAATGCAAGCTACTTTTAATCTGCGTGATTCGGAATCACCCTTAATGTGAATGTTGCCTAGCCTATTTATGTCCCTAGCTGGAGATTACTTAAGTACATATTACGCGATGTTCGTTAACTTACGACCCTGAACTGCTAAATATAGATTTACTTGTTCCATCGATTAAGATATCCAGGATCTATTTAACAGTGGCTTGTAACATGGAAGAAGCGTTGGAATATAAGTGTAATTATGAAGAAGATGTACGTGATATTCGTATATTTACTATTAGTTAATATTGTGGTTCTACGAGTTCTTAGACACGATGAATTGTTGGAAATTACGTTATATTCTAAATATACTTATTTATATCGAATGCTAAGAAGGTTCTCAGAAATATATTAGGACTAGTCCAGAGAGAGGATGTGTCGCCAAGCTAAGCGAAATAAAAGTGAACAAATTTCCCTGGTTTGGCCATCAAAAGAATGGTTGAGGATCGGAACAAGAAGTGTGTCGGTCGCCCCAAGTAACAAGTAATTTGGAAGCGGCTCTTCGCGATCTTCAAGCCACCGATTGGGGGGAGATTGCACAGAATGCCGTAATCTCGTTTCAGAGGCTAAAAACACATTTTGTAAGCAACTTATTTTTATAAAAAAACTCGTAGGCATTTCATGCTGTTGTAGATATTTTACGAGTTAATATAAAATCATGGTTTCGCATTTAATTTTGACGCTATAAGATTATTCAGTAAAAATTGCATTTGTTTTTAACTAGCAGGTATAATGTGTGTTGTAACTTTCACCATAAAGAACTATTAAGAACAGTCCAATTCGTTGTTAACCCCTAAAAAGAAAGAGGTTTATTTATATTATTACTATTACATTTCATAGTTATGTATTGTTTTTGGTTAGTCAAAATTATTAATCATTATTTTTAAATACATTGCGCGGCTTTTGTACCTGCTGTTTTAGCTTTATTTATTCTTAAAAAATTCTTCGAGAGTTACTTGAGTATTCTAATAATAATAACAATAATAAAACAATAAACATCCTTTACCTATCACGTTACCCATTCCGACGATGGGTTGTAGTTTCATTCTAATCGTTTGATCTGTAGTCAAGCGTGTCGGTGGAAATACAAAATTAATTATACGAACGTAACCTTTGAAATAATATAAAGGGTATATAGACTGCTTCGTTAAATTCGCCTGTAATGTAGTAAATGAATACCACATTCAAATCTTTATCATTAACTCATTGACTAACCACTTTGTTTTTGTTAAAACTTTCACTTGTTTTACAAACTATTGCTGTTATAGTCCTAAAAATTTGATTTTGTATTTTGGGCTAAACATTGTTCGGTAATTTTATAATTTTTTTGTACGTCCACTGCATTATCTTTACGATCCAACGATATCTATTTTTGGTTGTTCTTAAAAGTAGATAGACAATATTTCACCGCGTGTGAGGCATGGCTCTTAATATCGGTTTTGATACCGAAATTGCGCGTTGTTTACGTCCATTCCCAGAACATGGAAATGATTTAAATCCCGGCAATGAATCAATATATTGAAATTACTTCTTCACGGGAAAAATATTTCTCTTTTGATGTACTCCAAAGTCATAAGTTAAAATGTTTTCGTTTTGCTTAACCGGACTGACTTAGGGTGACCTCAAATTAGAAGTTTGTAAGAACGCTGCAGTGGCGCGACAGCCGCGCCACTACTAATTTTCATACACTACTTTGTCTGCAAAAGTGGTGCGCGAGTTACGCGATTGTGGCGCTGAAGCTGCGCTTCTAAATATTGTATGAAATTAGTAGACAGACGCGCTACTGCAATGCTTCTACAAGCTTTTAATTTGAAGGCGCGTTAGTTGCGAGCAAAAAGTTTTTGTTGATTCCCGACGGATGACCTGCGAAATAAAATGCCTTCTACTTGCCGTGATCTTACGATTATTGGACGAAATATAACGAGTGTCGCACGTAACCTAAACAACTTTTGTACTCTACATATAAGATCAAAAATTAGTTTTGACTTTATTGTTCTGACAGAGTGTCGGCTTCGCTCCACAACGTATGTTCCAGAATTGGACAATTATACCTACGTATCTACCACAAATAATTCCACACAAAATTAAGTTATATACTACAAAAAAGGATATAAATTTATTAACCGAAGAACCTTCGCTACGTGATGCGAACTGTCTTCTCTTCAAGTTAAATAGTTGGCTATTAATTATTAATAACTGTAATATATTGATATTACAGTTATTTATCGACCCCTCCGTACAATGTATTAAGATTTTGTTGATTCTTTTGTCAAAATACTACATCCTTAAATGGATTTAAATATATTATTTTGATAGGTGATATAAATATCGATATTGCACCTAATTCTGATGATAAACTATTATTCGAGTTATTATGAGATATGTTGGCGAGCCATTGTTTCTTCCTGGTCATAATATCCCTCGACACGGACGCACTTGTTTGACTCACATCATGATTAAAACAAAGTTGAGGGCAAATTGCTACATAGTGGAGTCTTCGTTTACTGATTATGAGTGCACAGTGCATATTTAAATCTACAAACACCCCAATTATTCAACACTTCCGACGAAATTCATAAACAGTTCATAAACTACTTAAATGTAGACATTACAATGAATAATTTAGATCTTAACCACATAATATTACTGATCCACATTTAGCGATAGAATTTCTAATTGTTTCCCTACTAGCTCTACAAGGAAACACTGGGTTGAGTAAAGTACCTAAATGGAAACGAGTAAAAAAACGATTGATCACGGTGGGCTTGTTGCGCTGCATGCGTAATTGAGATAACACCCACAATAAACTTAAAAAGGATCCAGAAAATGAAGTGTTAAAATTAACGTACAGAAGATATCGCAATTTTTGTAATAACTTAAAAAGGCAAAACGAGCTTATGAGAAACAAAACATTTGGAACGCAGGTAGTAACACAAAGAAACTGTGGGAAGTTATTAAACATATTTCCTGCATGAATAAGAGAGTGGATCATTCTGTTAACCTTATTGATGACGGTGACGATTCGGGTGGACGTGTGAATGATGTAAATTTCTTCTTATCTTAATCTTGCGGTGCAGATAGGTAAGACGGAAAGTAATGAGTTAGTTTCATTAACCTCTTCAACTATCAATTCAAAATCATTAGTACTTCTCCCCACGCACCACAATGAAATTTAGTAGTCTCATTATGGGATTAAGAAATGACTGTGCTATCGGTGATGACCAGTTGTCGGGTAGTTTCCTAAAAAGATATGGAGACCTACTATGGAGAGACTAGTGGGATCACTATCCCAGAATTTACGTCTGAAATTTGCCTATTGAGTCTGGTATTTTTCCTACTTTGTCTAAATCATCAATTATAAAACCTATACAGAAGAGTGGTGATAAAGGCTGTGTCGGCAACTATCGGCCAATTTCTACCTTACTAACTTTATACAAGATTTTGGAAAAAATGTTGAACAAACGCTTAGTTAACTCCTTGAGTCAAATATTTTTGGAACGCAGTAATGCTAACTTATTACTTGGCGGCATTATTACTGCTTGGCGGCAGAAATAGGTAAGGGGGCAGTACTTCCTTTGACGAACTGTTTCATAAGGAACTCTACTGCTACTACTAAATAGCCTAATGTAAGCTGTCCAATACGGTTTCCGGGCTGGTGTTTCTACTGGAGACGCAGTCTACGAGCTCACACATGACATTCTTAGTAGTCTTGACGAAGGGAGGAAATGTTTAGCGGTCTTCCTCGACCTTGCTAAGACTTTCGTTTGCTCTTTCCTCTCCTTCTGCATAAACTGGAGTCTCTTGGCGCAAGGGGACTACCTTTACAACTGTCATAAGTTATCTTACCAATAGAACCCACAGAGTAAAGATTGAGGAACTTATTAGCGATAGACTGGAGTCTTATGGAGTGCCGCAGGGTAGCATCATTAGCCCTACTTTGTTCTTAATTTACATCAACGAACGTATAGTTCGTTGACGTGTTTGTTGAGAACCATCTTCAACATAGTAAAATCGTGACTTTCGCATATGATACAGCTTTCTTCTTCTCTGGTGTTAATTGGAATGATATCTTTTCTAATGCCCAGAAAGACTTTGACCCTAGTCCACAAATGGGTCCATGGAAATGTCCTTACCATAAACGTGGCTGAAACAAAATTTGAAATTTTTGGACGCTCCATTGTAGCCCATTCATGTTCTAACCGCGGCTCCAGGTGCGACTGTCCTCCTCTTGGGAGAACTTCCACTGTTAAATGTTAAAATCTTGGCATCCTAGTTAACGAAACACTAAGCTTCAAAGAATTCATGAATATACTGTCTTCTAGGTTACGGAAAATCATATTTATTTTTAAAAATGTACGTCGGGTTGCAGACCATAAAAGCATTAAATCAGTGTTTCGTGTTTTGGGTCAATAATTATTAAACTCATGGGGCGGAAGTCACATCTAATAGAGGTTGAGAGAGCTCAAAGAGCAATCTTCAAGCTGGTCTTCTCTTTAGATCCTCTACAACAGATCTGTATTAAACCTGGGATTTACTGTCAGTGCACCAATTATTTATTCTCGCCACCGTAGTTAAAAACATTCTGAGCTTACATCACATAATCCAGCTAACCTAGTTGGTAAACGGAGAAAAGGTGCCGGCTGTGCCTTGCCGCCTAAGTCTTGACCAGAAGTTTATTTGCTATCTTGGCAGTTGACTATATAATAAAATCAGTAGCATCATAACAAATGCAAAGGAATGAAGGTAAAGTGGCTTAAGTCTTTGGACTATGACAAGACTGAAAATCTTTTTGAATACCATATTATAATTAAAGTCTTGCACAAACACACATCCTCCCAAATGTAAATACAACGCGCAGAGGCACACATTCGCAACTTCTCTTTTACCTAACAACACAAACAAATTTATTTAATTTTGCTATTTTTCAAGAAATTATTTATATATTTCTCATCTCTTAAAAAGTGTAGTAATTTAATTTCGCAAATTATAAAACGAGTGTTTGATCGGAATCAGATAATAAGTAATTTAATCCTTTTTTTGCTGATTGATTTACTGTACCTACCTAATTTATGTAAAATTGAGTTAACCAAATTGTAATAACTTCGCGGGATGGGGACCTGACTCGTATACAAGTACGCAGAAGCTGTACAATAACAACCTGTAGTAAAAGTTTTTGTTTAACATAGTTTTGCCCTCGTGAATGGTAAATTTTGAATATCAACCGGAATTTTATTATGGAAGCGTATATATTGTCCCTTAGGAATATGAATTTGTGATTTTGTGAAGATGACTGTCCAGAACAAGAAGGTTAATTTTATTTCTTGTATTAATGTTACGTCTGTTACTATTTTTCATTAAAAAATACTATTTATCTTAATATAAATTACATTTTCATTAATGTGCATTTTCGTAATCACCATCATAAGTCACCCCACTGGATACGCGTCTCCTCTAAGGAGAAGGTTTCTTTAAAATTTGTCAAAAAAGTCTTTATTTAAAATTTGTGTAACGTCATAACGATTAAGACTCATGGAGCTACGCGCATTATTATTTAATGCTTAATTTACTTTATATAGCATAATGCAATATCTTCTTCTGTGATTTTTTTAAAATAGGAAATAAAAAATGACTACTTACTACTAATACTTTTCGTATTTAAAATATACTTATTTTTGATTTGAATTTTACTACAGATTTTGTATGTCAATACTGCTATTAACTATTTTTAACAAAATTCAATAAAACTTTTCAGAATTTTCTTCAAAATTCATTACTAGTTTTCACACGGGTAAAACCCGTTACAAAAGTAATTATATACGTTTCACAGTAAATATGAAAATAAACACGTATATATTTGACATTTACTTCTTTAACATTCGCCCATTCCGAGGGTATAAGAGGATTTTACGTATGCACACCGATTTAAATTGCATAAATTAAAATGTGCGAACTCGACTCGCTACAGACGTCATTTCGACTGTCTACTTTTTTAAATGTAGCTCGGATTTTTTAAAATATTTTTGGGGAATTTGAATATTCACTTTTGGCATTTTATAAATTCTATGATTTAGACAGCATAAATAATATACTACCTGTTGTGACTGGTAGAGTTGACTGTCCGATCATGCTACAATGTAGGAGACTTTTTTTTAGTTAAATACTTTCTTTATTTTGTTTTTCATGTATTGCTTTATTTTCATTCATTTCATTTTCATCAATCAATGGAACTCTGCATGTTTAATATAACTCTGTATTATATTATGGACTTCACTTTTCGGTAATAACTTATCGGAAAACATATCTACATCTTGTTTTTTCTAACCGTCTGGTATCTTACTTTTTATTTTAGGGTGTGTGTAGATACTTTTGGATCATAATCGTGTGTTATATAATTAAAAGAGAAAAAGGAACGTAACCTTCCATTTATTAGAAGTAGGCTTCAATATATTACATTAAACGTTATAATCCTCACCGAATGTATTATGATCTTTCGTCCGTATTATCCCACGCATAAGGATTTAATGAATTACGTGCTTTGAATGTTCTAGCAAAATGCTATAGATATTTAATGTTAACTGTTGCTAGCGTTTATTGTTAAATGTTGAATATTTACGGAAATAGGATTTGATTAATTTAGCTGCTAAACTACCTCTGAAGGTCGCTCTCTCACACTTCGCATCTCTCGTAGAGAGAGAGAGAGAAGGTTATAGGTAGAAATTGCAATTATAATAGGAGAATGTATTCGCTAGGTACGTACTGGGTAATGTGACTGTACGCTCTGGTTACTCAATAGTCTTTAAAACCAGTGTTTTTGTCTGTTAAATCAACAACAGATCACAATATTGATGGCTACATTTAATCGGTATGCGTTACGAAAAATTTTATACCAAATATTTCATTTCCTGAATTTTTTGTCGATTAATTTTCACTCTTTCTGATTGAGTTTATTGGTTCAGCGCAATACTTCATTTATATTAAAATAAATGAGGCAAATAAATTGAATGTCCAAGAATGAATTTTGATTTCAGTTTGTGCATTTAATGTTGCTTTCATATCAATCAGCTTTATACGTAATTTTCCAATTCATTATAAATCTATTGATACTGTATTATTTTATGTTCTTCTCTAATGAGTGGGCCGAATATTAATTTGAAATTTGCTTAAAATTTTAGTATGGTGAAACAAGGAAGTTTAATTGTTAAAATAAGTTAGTTAAGTAGTTTTCGTTGCCTTACTTTCTCAAACCCGTGTCTTAATGCACACAGTTATTGAAATGCAAAAAATGAATTATATATACAAATTTTGCAGGATGATTTCACATCGCATTTCCTTCATATTCGCACGCTGGCTTACTACCTATTCTTAACGTAATGCATCCAAATTAACACCATTAATAAACAATTTAAAATAAATAGAAAGTTTTGCCAACTCCTGTATAATCGCTCTATAAGATACGGGTTTGCGAAAGTAGGACATCGTTATGACTTATCGTCGTTATAGACGTTAACAGTTACCAATAAACTCGAGTCCAAAGAGTTTCCAAGTGCCGCGCTTGGTGACGATGATGACTTGCGGGCATACATTGCGATGCATCTGACGAGTCGTGTAGTGCAGAAAGTGCAGCGCCTCAATTATCTGAAACAAACAAATACAGCGTAAGAGCAGCCTTTATGAACTAACGAACAAGTCAAACACGTTTATAAAATATTGAAACTCAGTTTCCGGCACAAAAAAATTCTTTAAATTCTTAATTGGCTAAACGTGTTTCAGCTTCAGTGTATTACGCCGTTCAACTGGGAAAATGAATTATTTCACAAAAAAAAAAAAAAAATTAAATAAATGCAATTACTTTGAAAAATAACGATAATTTTTTTAATTTAAAGTTAATTTTTTTTACAAATTCTGCGGTTATCCCACACATGATTCTACTATTTGCATTTTACATGAGCAATTATGTCGTGTTTTCCTACAGTTTCCTACGTTATGTTTTGTTTAAATTTCAGATAATTGGATTTCGCAGTATGACAATTAGTTGATATTACGAAAACCGGACTTTTCGGATTAGAATTAAATACAATTTCTATTGAAATACAGTCGGTGTCCTCACTTAGATATCCACTATTTGTATAACATTTAGTACTTCTATCTAAGTTAGGACACCGAACTGTACATCTACAGGAAATATAAGATGCCTTTCTTGTACTTAGAATTTTTGAAGCTAGAGTAACATTACAAAATGAGGATCAACGTGTTGAAACAATTTAACAGGTAGCCACATCTACCTATTACTCCAACGTTTCGCCCATCTTATGATGGCCGTGACCATTTTTGTAATGTTAGTATATTTTAATTCATTAATGCGCAGTAAATTGGTGAATACCATATGCATGTGGAACCCACATGAAAGCTCAGATATCGTTATGTTAGAAAAAGTGCAGAAAGCGTTTCTTAGATACTTATACAAACGTGCGAATGGGTGCTATCCCTATATGTATCCGACTTGATTTTTGTTGGATTGTCAGGGTTATAATTCGTTAGAGGTTAGGCGAATGAAACACCAAGTCGTGGTTACTCTCAAAATTCTGCGCGGTGATATGCGCCATGCGCATAACAAATATCACCGCAGTAGAAGACAAAAGTTGTTTGCCACCCCCGTGTTCCAGAGCCGTAGCTAAATCACCCAAACCGCGCTTTGTGTCGGCGCTCTAATCTCTCGTTACCACCAACCCTGAATGCGACTTGTTTGCGGATGGATGGTCAGGAATATTGCCAGAATTTTGCATTATTGTGAAAAGGGATGCTTGAAAGGTAGGTACTTAACATTATATAATTATTTTTAAGTTGTTAATAATGTTTCTTTGATTATTGTAACTGTTTTCTGTAATGATTAAAGTAAAAAATAAATAAATAAGGGTGTGTACAGAAATGGCGAATGCGGTGCGTGTGCGCTGCCCGCGTGTAATTAAGGCGCCTCTGTAATGACATCTCACGCAGGACTCGCATAGTGGGGTCTACTCTCGATGTCCGTCCGGCATCCGTCCGAAACAATTACTGTCAAATAAGCAATCCTCGACCAAATGAAAAGACGCGCGTTGCGAATGAAGCTTCATACTTGATACCTGTCTTTTAATTTGGTCGAATATTACTTATTTGACAGTAATTGTTTCGGACGGCTGTCGGACGGAGATCGAGAGTAGACTCCAGTGTGCGAGAGGGGCATGCCAACAGAGCCTACCACATAATACACAATGATATTGAAACAATGGAAGAATGTAAAGATACGTGTTTTGTGGGAATGTGAAATATCGACGTAACAGACTTATAAATATAATTTCACATAATTATGCAAATACGTATTTGCATATAAAAACTTTATTGAAGGTGAAAATAATTATTTTAATAAATTGTCTAGAATTTTAGAATATTAACCAAAATTTAAAATGCCCTTGTTAATCCTGTAGAATTTTAATAGACATTTCTTAACTTGGTATTCTAAATAGCAATTTTAAGACATTTCTATAAGCCAGTGAGAGATAAACTCGTGATTCAGAAAAAAATTTGTGTATTGAAAATGTAGAGTAAGCAAAGTCAACAATCGCTGCTGAGATGAACGAAGTACGAGATTATCGCTTATCCTTATAATTTTACCTACTGATTTTTCGCTCAATTGTCCTAGCCCCCCTCCTGGGGAAGCTAGGTCTCCTCGGAGGCAATTGGGGGCGTTGATGCTGCTCAGGGGTTGCTACAGCATTTGAATAAAAAAAACCTGAATTATCTACATAAACTACACAACACGTACGTATATTTCTTTTTCTTGCGAGTTTTTTACTTAAGTTAATATAAAAAATTATTTGGTTCGATAATTTTTTATGTTGATAGGCGTCGAAATTTTTTTATCTTGCCTAAGCGGGCGGTGAGCTAAAAAGTTTGGGAGCCTATGGATTAGCTGTTTTCAGATTGGCTTTTTTCCTAGATAGTGTGGTGAGGATCTCAGGTTTAACGTCGCCTTACTATCTCAAACTCGTATCTTAAAACACAAAGTTACTGAAATGCAAAAAATGGATCGTTTATGCAAATGTTGCAGGCACATTTCACATCACATTCCTTCATATTTACGCATTGGCTTTTACATATTAAAAAAGTAATACATCCAAATTAACACCCTTGATGAGAAATTTAAAGCAAATAGAAAGTTTTGCCATCTCCTGAATAATCACTCTTTATAAGATACGAGTCTGAGAAAGTAAGGCATCGATAAGACGAATATTTATTTTTAGCCGTCTTAAAAAAAATGAGGAGTTCTCAATTAGATTGTGTCTTTTTGTTGGTATGTTACGCGAATACACTGACATTTGTGAACTCATTTCGATAATTCTTTTTGTTGGAAATGGGGTGCCTCAGTGATACTTCTATTCAACTTGAAGAAAATATTCCACCACTAAGGGTGGCAAATTAGGGGATGAGTCCGGTTTATTGGATTTCACCCACTTTCCATTAACCAACTTGAATAAAACTTGGTAAATAGATGTAATTCCACATACTTCTGTGGTCTTTTTTTATTATAAAAAAGGTATACCTCCACTTATCTTATCGATGCTGCAACTAGGGCAGTTTGCATACTAGCCAGCGCCCTAACTACGTGAAGTTGGCAGTACAACAAACGTATGGTATATATAAATGTATCGACGAGTAGTTAACTCGCTTTATTGGCTCTTTGAAGTATCCTGTTTTCTGTCGGGAGATTTTTAAATTTTAGGTTAAGTTTTTATCTATACAATAATAGTTACGTAGTTCTTGAAAATCTCATCTAATTTTGTCGCTTATATTCTGTATAAGAGACGAACTTATCGTACTGAAATTCATATAATATTATTAAAACATATATTAACTTCAGGCGCTTAGCTTCGCCGTAGAAGATTCGCGGTTGAAAGTTTCGACCTCCGATTACTTTGAAACTTACGGCACCTGACGGCATAATTTTGTTGAAGGAAACTCGAGTCTCTAGCACAAAACTTTTTTAGGCAAGAAAGTGTTACGTGTCTTTTTTCCAAGAACGACTTGTCTTTATACTTATTTGGAGACAATAGAGTTACCCATAGTACACCGGGGTGTAGTAGCGTAGGACAACCTATAGTACAATCACACAGTTCAGACGAATACATAATAACAAATGGGTACTTTAATTCAGGAACTTGAGGACATTAAAGTCAAAATTATTTGCTGTTGGCGTTTATTGCTTTACAAATATTGCATTCAAATTATCGTATGATTACAATTTATTTAATTAATAAATTTAAAGGCCCCATATATCATGCATCTTTGAATTCAGCTGATTTAATTTATGTATTTTGAAGAATATTAAGTTGTGACATTTTAGTCTTGAAGATTAAAATTTTCAAATTATTTGTCTCCCTATAATTAATGGGACTTTTTTGACTTTACGATGACTGACTGTCGTGACAATGGGAAGAGCTTGAACGACTGTCGTCTGACGATAAATAAAATGTCACGGTAAAACTGTGATGACACACAATCGCAGCTTCAGACGATTCTGTCGAGCAAACGACAAGGCGGCTGCTGTGAACCGATAAATTGCCGTCACCATGTGGGAACAGCTAGACACGACAGTCGTTCGACGGTAAAATAAACATCCACGACATAGTCACGACAGATAGCCATGAAACGATAAATTGTCGTCATCATGTGGGAACAGCTAGACGCAACAGTCGTTTAACGATAAATAAAACTTTACGACATAATGGGAACGCACCCTTACTTTACTTACTTTACTCACGGCGCGCGGCGAAGGACCGTGTGTTCACCTGACGAGGAGACGAAGCGGGGCGGGGTGGTGCGTAAGTAAGCGGTGTAAGCTGTGACACCGCATTGCTCGGTGCAATAATCATAGCGTTGCGATGTACACAACCCACCTGCAGCACCCGTGTGTCATCCATAGATATATGAAAAATTTAATATCTACGGTGGCATTGTTCTTATTACCTCCAGCAGGGACAATTTGCGCATTCAGAATGATACACGTGTACAGTTTGGAACACGTTTATCGCATTATTATTCGCAAAAGCCTACTCATATCAGGAGTCCAAAGCTTCTTCAAGAATAAAGTATTACTCCAATTAAAATTATAATGATACCACTAGAAGCGGTAGGTTACGTTTCGATTCTTAAATGGGCGAACGAAATGCCGAAGTATGTCCTTCAACCAAATTGGTCCATAATTGCAAAATTCCTTAATATTTTATTTATTACGTAACCCACATAGTTCTATGAACAATAAATAAGATTGTAAATTGTCTACGTGATCACAATCGTATTTACAACATGCAAATTGATTATAATGTAATTTCGAAAAGCATTTTACAATTTAAATTTTGAAGATAATATACAGGTAAGGTAAAAACGACAATAAAAGCTTAACTACTAGAAAGTAAAACTAGGATTTTTAAATTATATGAATAAAATTGGGTCCCCGCGGCAAGGTGCCTAAGATGCTGGCAGCGTTTCCCCTTTGTATTGCTATGCTAAAGCAATGGGCAAGGTAGGTTGGGTTTCCCAGACAGTCAATTATTTTTTCCGATAAAATTTTGTACAGATGAAGGGCATTGGGACCCTACGGG